AAGAGGAAGAAAAAAAGGAGGAGCAAAAAGAGATGAAAGAGGAGGAGGAGAAGGAGGTGGAGGAAGAAGAGGAGGAAGAGGTGAATGAAAAAGAGGAAAGGTGAAATGAAGAAGGGAGGAAGAGGAAAGGTGAAATGAAGAAGGGAGGAAGAGGAAAGGTGAAATGAAGAAGGGAGGAAGAGGAAAGGTGAAATGAAGAAGGGAGGAAGAGGAAAGGTGAAATGAAGAAGGGAGGAAGAGGAGGAAGAGGTGAAGGAATCTTGTCGAGTGACTACTATTTACTAAATGGATGGGGATGCCTTATTGAAAAAAATATAAACATCTGGTGTAAAGGGAAAAAGTATTATTATTATTTCTTTCTTTGATATTTTCTCTTAAAAATTTCATTCGGTAATGACCTTTTCAGATTATATATAATAAATAATTTGCAGAAATAAAAATTTAAATTTACTCTTTTTTTTTTATGTATTAGAAAAATTAGCTTAACGTAAATGAGAATTAATAAAGAATAGCACCTGATAAGTTAGTAATGAGAAAAATTAGCACCAATTAAATTTAACTCTATTAAAAATAAAATAATTACCGATTACATAGTCGAGAAAATTTTTTTAAATTTTCATTTAAAAGAAAAGAGGAAAAAAAAAACATTCTTCTATAGTAATAGGAATGAAAAAGTTTTAGAAATATAAGAAAAAAAAATTTTTTTTAGAACTACATTTGAAAAAAAAAAAACAATTTAACAATTTTCCTAACAAAAAAAAAATTCAAAGAACTTTATTGTTGATCTTTCCATTATATGAGAAAAAAATTTTAGGGAAAAAAATTTGAAAAATTTTTTTTACTAAAAAATTTTCAAATAAAAAGCAAAGTTTTTTTTCAAAAAAAAAAAAAAAAAAAACACTTAAAAAAAAATTAATTCCATCTCATGTGGAGTTTTTCTTTTTTTTTCTACACATTTAATTTATCGATCAAAATTTTAATTTAATTTTGATATCATAAAAATCCACTCTAAAACTTGAATAACTTAAATTTACACCTATTACACTAGTGGATGAAAAAAATAATATATCCATTATCCTAAAATAAATTATCCAATTTATATCTGTTAAATAAAATCCTGTATATTTTAAAATTGTAATTATAATAAATATCTAATGATACTTTCGTATTAAACATTTAACGATTATTTTATTTTACATAAATGATTTTCAAATGTTAATTTACTATAACAAACAGAAATGTGAAGCAAAAATAAACAAACAAAATAAAATAAATAAATTACTAAGTAATTTATCAGTGAGAATGGAAGAGTAAAAAAAAAAGTAATAGAAATTATTGCTTTTTTTAATTTAAAGCAAAAAAGAAAAAAAATTCTCTCTAAGAGCTAAATTACTTAAAGTATGTAAATATTAGCTAAGAGTTGAAAAACTAAATAAATTAATTAAAGAAGAGATAATAACTTTATTAATTAAATTTTTGATTGCAAAAAAAAAAAAAAAAGAAAAATTCATTGACATATAATACTAAAATATCAAATAAATAAATAATAAAATTTGTAATGAAAAAAAAAAAAACGAAAATTTCTTTTTTCTTTTGAAATCTTTTAAAACTAACCAAATTATTGATGAAAATTTATTTGAATTATTAAAATTATTTTATTTTGAATTTTTTTTCTTTTATTCCAACGTTTTTTTTTTTTTAAATTGTTGTCATGTCAACCTAAAAAAAAAGAAAAAAAGATCCATCAAGATGAAACAGTTGGCCTTTTGAATATTGTTGAGGGAACATTGTAGTTTTATTTCTCACGGCAATAAATTTGACTGTCAATTTGCTATAATATATAGATTTGGTTAAGTACCGGTTTGAACAGGATTTTCTCCTTTTCCGGAATTATTTCAATATGAATTTTCTGTTAATTTTAATTTTTAAATGATAATAAGTTAAGTGCAATATGTCAATTTATATGCTAATTATTTATATTAATTAATAGTTAGCTAATAAATTTTCAAGTTAATACTTAATATAATAAATTTATCTAAAACATAGCAAAAAAAAAAATTAATTGCATACTTGAAAAAAAAGAAAAAAAAAACTATTTGAAATTTAATTAATTTCAAAAATGCTAATGCTTTAAATTTAATAATTTATTGAATAGATTATTAATTGTTTTTAAAAGTTATTGCAATGCTCATTTTTCATTCTTTTCTTCATTCATTCCATATTAATTTGTTCAATTAGTGAATGCAATTTGTTGACTAAATCAAAAATGATAATCAAAGAAATGTAAAATTTATTTAATTAATTATTGAGTATTTAGTTAAATTAATGTGAAAAAAAATTTTTCTTTTTGAAAAACTTATATAAAACAAAAGATTTGTGCAAAGTTTTCTAAATTTATGTGCTTACTTTTCTTTTTTTTCCTTTCAAAAATGTTAATTAATTAAATCATCACCTGTCCTTTTGAAAGAGGTAAAGAGGGTACCCTTTACCTCTTTCTTTCTTCTTTTTTGATCTTTTGAAAAATATCACTCAATTTTTTGGAAATTCGAAATGACTGACAAAAATACATTCAACATTTTTCATTTCTCATCTTCTTTCTTTTTTATAAATAAGCAAAAATTTTTAATCATCAAAAATTCTCAAAAATCAAGCAAGCATTTATGATTTTTTCATTTTATTTTTTTCAAAAATTATTTCTAATTTTTTTCATACAAAAAAAAAATTACAATTAATACAAAAAAAAAAAAAAAAAAATTGTAGAATGAAAAATGAATGAAATGAAAAGGAAGAAATATTGGAGACACAATGACAGAAAATGATATTAAAATAATTTTTATTTCATTTCTAAGCAATACTTGCATGTTTTTTTTTTTTTGTTTTCATTAAAAAAGAAAAAAAAAATTTAACCATTATTTATGACTTTTAAAAACAGAAAATGCAATTATTGCTTAAAAATTTATTTGAAAATCATTGATTTGATTTGATTTGATTGACTGATTGAATGTTACTTTAAATTTTAATAAATAAATGGCAATGTATAAAAATTAATTGCATTATTCCAAAAATAAAAGTAAATCTGTATAATTAAAATTAACATTTAAAGGCACAAATAATTAAATTCTAAAATAAAAAAAAAAAATTTAAGTAACATTCAAACAATCCTAACTTACTATCATTGTTAGATAATTTATTTAGTAAAGAATTTAATGTATTAAGAGGAATTGCAAAATTATATACTCATATACTAATAAATAAAATTATACATATTTTGATGTAAAATAAGTTTATCGGTTGAATTCTACTTGAAAAAAAAAAGAGAGGATGAATAAGTAAATAATCAAAATCAAAATTAACATTTAAGACTAGCAAATATTCTGAAAAAAAAAAAACAAAATTGAACTAACATTCAAGCAATCCCAATTTATTACTGTTAATTTGTTTAGTAAAAAATTTAATGTAAAAATAATTCATTTAGTAAAATATAAGTAAATAAGAAATGAAAATTGTTGCATAAATAAAAACTGAACAAATCCTTCCCTTCAATAATAATACAAAATTAGAGGAAAAACTATCGAAAAACAAATTTAATAAATCAATCAATGAACGAATCAAATGAATAAATCCATTTTTTTTTTATCGTTTCGAATAAACATTGAAGGATTGTTAAATTCTTTTTTGGTTTATAATTAAATTATTGGTAATCATGTTAATTAGTAAATTAAATTAATTAGTAAACTGAATTATTAGCAACTATGTTAATTAGCAAATTAAATTATTAGTAATCATGGTCTAAGACAATGAAATAATACAAATAGTTAATAAATTTTAGTATCTTTTATTTAAATTAAATGAATGTGACGTTTAGATAAAGCATACATAGTTTTTCAAGAAAAAAAAATAAAAAAAAAACTTTTTTGTCACAATTTAAAAAAGGTGAAACCGAATGAATCAGCGTAAAAAGTAACTCAAAATTTTACTATTAAATTTAGTAATTTATTCAGATTTTTTTTTTCAGGGAAAAAATTACAATTGGTGAAATTTAATGCAAATTGTTTACCAAATATCTTGAAGTGCATCAGAGTTTGTTTAGCATTTAATTTAGCTAATACTTTAAAAGCATTCTGTAGTAATACCTTGTAATAAGTTAAATTCAATATCAAAGATATCATAATTAATTCGATGAGTAATTCTTAATTTTCTCAATCAATCAACTAATAAATCTTAATGAATGAAATAATAATAGAGAAATTAGTAAGAATAGAAAAGGAAAAAATGTTTAATTAATTTAGTATTATTTTAAAGTTAGCATTTCATAATCAATAATTCAATTACTACCTCAATTTCCAGCCTTTTTTTTTTTTTTTTCAGTTAAATATTAATAATATCTATCTCATCTAAGTATATTTTTTCTTAACATATTTGTCAGACTAAAACCAATAAGCAGTTTTATTCGAAATAGAAAAAATATTGATAACAAATTATTATTATTTTTTTAATATTTCAAAAGTTTCATGCATTTTACTTCATTTATGCTTATGTTAGCTGTTGATAAAATATAGCTTCTTTCTACCTGGTTTTTTCTTTTCTACTTAACATTTTCAAATATGGTAAATGACAATTAACAAAGTTTACAGTTATAGAAATTCCTTTTTTCTTGCCTTGGAAAATTTTGAAAAAAAAAAGAACTAATACATAACTTTCACAATTCAAAAATTCAAATTTTCCACATATACTTACGCGATTTGGTACGAATGTAAACAAACATTTGTTTAAAAGAAAAGTTATAATTAAAAAACTACTTCAGGTAGAATGTTTTCCGTAGAATTTTACCTCTTTGTAAGAGGTAAAAAGTGAAAATAACATTTTGTAATAATGGCAATGAGAACTTCGTAATAAAAAATAAAATAAAATAAATTTAAATATTGCTCTAATTCCTTTTTTTTCTGCTTATTAAAGAAAATATTGCTGATTTCTTTTTTCTTTTTTTTAACTTAGAAATTATGGATGAATGCAAGGGTCAGAGATATAAAAATAGCAAAGATCAAAGGTTAAAAAATAATTTCCAGAAGAAAATTTGCATTGCAAAGGTTTGTCAGAAATTAATTTAGTAAGTAGGATGAAATTATCATTTGCTGTTATAGCATTACGTTGCTTACGGTTACGTTACTTACGCTAACACATAAAATTAGCATTACTATTCTAAAATAAGCTAGCAATGAAGAGATGATATTAAAAATTAAATATTCATTAAACTCTTACAAACAATCAATTTTTGAATTTACTGAAAATTTATTAGAAATAATTTCTGAGTATTTGCTACTTTAATTTTTAGGATGAAATTTGATATGAATAAAAAGAAATTCGATACAAATGATATATTTAAAATACTATTTTAGACTAAAAAAGGACAGTAAGACTAAAAAAAGATAGTAACAACAACAATAACAACAACGACAACAACAACAACAACAACAACAACAACAACAACAACAGCAACAACCACAACGATAACAACGACGATAACAACAACAATAACAGCAATAAGAATAACAAATAACAGCTCTTAGCCACAGATAACTGCTAACGGAAATTGTTTAGTTATTTAAAAGAGAGAAATAAATTTGCTGCGTCAAAGAAAAAAAAAAGAAAAGGAAATTAGAATTATCGATTGCATGATAAATGTTAACGTACCAATTTTATTTGCTAAAAATAATTCTTATTTTATCTTTTTGTTCCGCAAAAAATTTTTAACAATTTTCAATAAAATTTTTTTCAAATGAGCTTAAACTAAGACTAAAAATCGTAAATGATGAAAAAAAATTCTTTTTTGAGAACGAAAGAAAAGTGATAAATTCAATTACTAAATTATATACAAAATCAAAAGAGAAAAAAAAATTTACTAATTTTAGGAGAAATTTTCAACATAAATTTTGTTTAGGACAAAAAAGAAAAAAAAAATTATTAGATATTATTTTTTGATAAAAAATAAAAACTCAAAATTTGAAAATAAAATTTTTAAATAGCAAATTAATAATTTTTATAATTTTCTAATTAACAAATATTTTTATTCTTTTCATATAAAATATAATTATAAGAAAACTTTCTGCAAATGTAAAACTTTTCATTACGGTAAAACAGAATATTTAGACAAATATTCGGGAAAATTTTCACGAAAATCGATTTTATCACAGCGAAAATCTCAAAAGAAACAGAAACCTTTCATTATCTATTCGATGTGAAATATTTTGGTAATTTGTTTATTCGATTAACACACCAATTCACTACAATAATACATGAAAAGGTGACGGAGAGAGAGAGAGGGAGAGACGGAGGGATAGAGAGAGAGAGAGAGAGAGGGACAGAGAGGGAGAGGGAAAGGTAGAAAGAGGAGGAAGGGACAGTTATAGGATATGATTGAGATATAAAAGAGAAGCCGTCGTTCTGCTACTATTGCTAATATTGCTGCTACTGCTATTACTGCTACTATTTACTACTACTGCTGCTGCTAATGCTACACTGATACTACTACTGCTGCTGCCATTGCTGCTGCAGCGCTGCATTATCACTAATATTGGCGCTATCGGATCAATTTTTCGTTACAAATGCTAATTGTGGTGCTCACATACATACATTTTCAAGCAAACGATCTCCGGTCTTTGGCATTTTTCCTTTAATCGCAAGTGTCTTCCATTCTTTTCCTTTTCCCTCTCTCTCCTTTTTTCCTTCCTTCTTTCTACTTCCTTCCCTTCTTCGTCCTATCTCTCCTTCTCCCTTCCAAACATACAATTTTTTTGCGTCATCGACCTCAGTCCTTTCTTTTCCGGTTAAATAAGGAATGGAAGGAAAGTTGGGGGAGAAAAGCGGAAAAAAGAAAAAAGATTCGGGTGAATGGTCACATAAACGTAAACAAAAGAATTAATGACTTCTGCTAAGCTCATTGGCCAACAGTATCACCATGACATTTCATTGTTAGCCAACAACAGTATCACCATGACATTTCATTGTTAGCCAACAACAGTATCACCATGACATTTCATTGTTAGCCAACAACAGTATCACCATGACATTTCATTGTTAGCCAACAACAGTATCACTGTGACATTTCATTGTTAGCCAACAACAGTATCACCATGACATTTCATTGTTAGCCAACAACAGTATCACTGTGACATTTCATTGTTAGCCAACAACAGTATCACCATGACATTTCATTGTTAGCCAACAACAGTATCACTGTGACATTTCATTGTTAGCCAACAACAGTATCACTGTGACATTTCATTGTTAGCCAACAACAGTATCACCATGACATTTCATTGTTAGCCAACAACAGTATCACTGTGACATTTCATTGTTAGCCAACAACAGTATCACTGTGACATTTCATTGTTAGCCAACAACAGTATCACCATGACATTTCATTGTTAGCCAACAACAGTATCACTGTGACATTTCATTGTTAGCCAACAACAGTATCACTGTGACATTTCATTGTTAGCCAACAACAGTATCACTGTGACATTTCATTGTTAGCCAACAACAGTATCACCATGACATTTCATTGTTAGCCAACAACAGTATCACCATGACATTTCATTGTTAGCCAACAACAGTATCACTGTGACATTTCATTGTTAGCCAACAACAGTATCACAGTATCACCATGACATTTCATTGTTAGCCAACAACAGTATCACTGTGACATTTCATTGTTAGCCAACAACAGTATCACTGTGACATTTCATTGTTAGCCAACAACAGTATCACTGTGACATTTCATTGTTAGCCAACAACAGTATCACTGTGACATTTCATTGTTAGCCAACAACAGTATCACTGTGACATTTCATTGTTAGCCAACAACAGTATCACTGTGACATTTCATTGTTAGCCAACAACAGTATCACTGTGACATTTCATTGTTAGCCAACAACAGTATCACTGTGACATTTCATGTTAGCCAACAACAGTATCACTGTGACATTTCATTGTTAGCCAACAACAGTATCACTGTGACATTTCATTGTTAGCCAACAACAGTATCACCATGACATTTCATTGTTAGCCAACAACAGTATCACCATGACATTTCATTGTTAGCCAACAACAGTATCACCATTTCATTGTTAGCCAACAACAGTATCACTGTGACATTGTTAGCCAACAACAGTATCACCATGACATTTCATTGTTAGCCAACAACAGTATCACCATGACATTTCATTGTTAGCCAACAACAGTATCACCATGACATTTCATTGTTAGCCAACAACAGTATCACTGTGACATTTCATTGTTAGCCAACAACAGTATCACTGTGACATTCATTGTTAGCCAACAACAGTATCCATGACATTTCATTGTTAGCCAACAACAGTATCACCTGTGACATTTCATTGTTAGCCAACAACAGTATCACCCATGACATTTCATTGTTAGCCAACAACAGTATCACCATGTGACATTTCATTGTTAGCCAACAACAGTATCACCATGACATTTCATTGTTAGCCAACAACAGTATCACCATTGACATTTCATTGTTAGCCAACAACAGTATCCACCTATGACATTTCATTGTTAGCCAACAACAGTATCACATGACATTTCATTGTTAGCCAACAACAGTATCACTGTGACATTTCATTGTTAGCCAACAACAGTATCACCATGACATTTCATTGTTAGCCAACAACAGTATCACCATGACATTTCATTGTTAGCCAACAACAGTATCACCATGACATTTCATTGTTAGCCAACAACAGTATCACTGCCATGACATTTCATTGTTAGCCAACAACAGTATCACTGTGACGACATTTCATTGTTAGCCAACAACAGTATCACCATGACATTTCATTGTTAGCCAACAACAGTATCAACCATGTGACATTTCATTGTTAGCCAACAACAGTATCACCATGACATTTCATTGTTAGCCAACAACAGTATCATCACAGTGACATTTCATTGTTAGCCAACAACAGTATCACTGTGACATTTCATTGTTAGCCAACAACAGTATCACCATGACATTTCATTGTTAGCCAACAACAGTATCACTGTGACATTTCATTGTTAGCCAACAACAGTTATCACCATGACATTTCATTGTTAGCCAACAAACAGTATCACCATGACATTTCATTGTTAGCCAACAACAGTATCACCATGACATTTCATTGTTAGCCAACAACAGTATCACCATGACATTTCATTGTTAGCCAACAACAGTATCACCATGACATTTCATTGTTAGCCAACAACAGTATCACCATGACATTTCATTGTTAGCCAACAACAGTATCACCATGACATTTCATTGTTAGCCAAAAACAGTATCACCATGACATTTCATTGTTAGCCAACAACAGTATCACCATGACATTTCATTTGTTAGCCAACAACAGTATCACCATGACATTTCATTGTTAGCCAACAACAGTATCACTGTGACATTTCATTGTTAGCAACAACAGTATCACCATGACATTTCATTGTTAGCCAACAACAGTATCACCATGACATTTTCATTGTTAGCCAACAACAGTATCACCATGACATTTCATTGTTAGCCAACAACAGTAATCACCATGACATTTCATTGTTAAGCCAACAACAGTATCACCATGACATTTCATTGTTAGCCAACAACAGTATCACCATGACATTTCATTGTTAGCCAACAACAGTATCACCATGACATTTCATTGTTAGCCAACAACAGTATCACCATGACATTTCATTGTTAGCCAACAACAACAGTATCACCATGACATTTCATTGTTAGCCAACAACAGTATCACCAATGACATTTCATTTGTTAGCCAACAACAGTATCACCATGACATTTCATTGTTAGCCAACAACAGTATCACCATGGACATTTCATTGTTAAGCCAACAACAGTATCACCATGACATTTCATTGTTATAGCCAACAACAGTATCACCATGACATTTCATTGTTAGCCAACAACAGTATCACTGTGACATTTCATTGTTAGCCAACAACAGTATCACCATGACATTTCATTGTTAGCCAACACAGTATCACCATGACATTTCATTGTTAGCCAACAACAGTATCACCATGACATTTCATTGTTAGCCAACAACAGTATCACCATGACATTTCATTGTTAGCCAACAACAGTATCACCATGACATTTCATTGTTAGCCAACAACAGTATCACCATGACATTTCATTGTTAGCCAACAACAGTATCACTGTGACATTTCATTGTTAGCCAACAACAGTATCACTGTGACATTTCATTGTTAGCCAACAACAGTATCACCATGACATTTCATTGTTAGCCAACAACAGTATCACCATGACATTTCATTGTTAGCCAACAACAGTATCACCATGACATTTCATTGTTAGCCAACAACAGTATCACCATGACATTTCATTGTTAGCCAACAACAGTATCACTGTGACATTTCATTGTTAGCCAACAACAGTATCACCATGACATTTCATTGTTAGCCAACAACAGTATCACCATGACATTTCATTGTTAGCCAACAACAGTATCACCATGACATTTCATTGTTAGCCAACAACAGTATCACTGTGACATTTCATTGTTAGCCAACAACAGTATCACTGTGACATTTCATTGTTAGCCAACAACAGTATCACCATGACATTTCATTGTTAGCCAACAACAGTATCACTATATATCGGCCAAGGGTATCATCTTGTAATCCAGAAATTGAACTGAAGCAAAACTAATATCATTTCTATAATAATAACATCTACATAACATGTAAAACTACCAATCTTATTTTCCATATTTTAAAATAAAAAAAGAGAAAGAGAGCAAATGTATCATTTGAAAAAAAAAAAAAAAAAAAAAAAAGAAAAGAAAACATAAATATTGCATTTTTTACAAAATTTTACCTGTGAATACGAAATGTAGTAGTAATAAAAATTTTGTTTTTTTTGGACAAAAAGTAACACACAAAAAAGAATTTATTAGAAAAAAAAAAAAAAATAAAAATGATTAATTATTGAAGACGAACAGGAGGAGCAGTTTTTATGATAAAAATGAACAAATAAATGAGTTATAAATAGTAAGTTGTAATTTATATTTTAAAAAATATAAGTAATTCGTACATTGTTTGTTTGATTTATTTTTTAATATATTGATGAATTTTTTCTTTTATCTTTTTATAATATTTTTAAGAAAAAAAGGTTTTTTTTCTTTAATGTTGAATACATAATTTTATTTTTAGAAGTTTCAATTTATTTGAAAGATGAAAGGACGAAGAACTGAAACTATTTGAAATTTCAATTTGTATTCAAACAAAAACTTGTATGGAAAAATATTAAAAAATATAGAAAATTAGTCAAAACTTACTTCCTTACAGACAACAATTTTCAATGCATAAATTTTGCTCACATTGATCATTCAATTTGGAGAAGTTACCAGAATATATTGATTGCTTAATCTTTTCTGATTGATTAAATATGGAATAATGATCTAGCAACTGATCACTCACCAATATCTAAAAATACATTATATTGATAGGTACTTCATCATATTTAATTAATATTCCTGGCCTAGTTTCAAATGATTTGAAATAATCTAAATCAATAATCGAAGTAATCAAACTTATTTGTTGCGAATGTTTCATTCCTTCTTTTTTTTTTTTTTTCGATCTTTAGCTAATTGCTATGTTTTGCTATACCAATGCAATGAAAAATGTTCCTCCGAGTCAAATTTCATTGGTACATTTACTTCTTCTACAAATTTGAAATGAAATAAATTTTTCGAGAAGAAAAAGAAAAAGAAAAGAGAAAGAAATTTCGCAGTAAAAATTGTCATATTGTCATTTTCGATGAATCATTTATGCATTGTTTGAATGCATAAAAAAAATCCGCTCATCTGAAAATTTCAATAATCAAAAATGAAAAAAAAAAAAGGAAAAGGAAAAAGAAATGAAAATAAAAATATTGAGGAAAAGAGGGAATATTGAAAAATTAAAATTTTAGGAATAAAATAATTTGTTGAAAGATTTTAGCACTTTTGATTTTTACTTTATTTATGTTTTTTTTTTTTTTTTTCACACTTATATTTTATATTTTAAGCAATCATAAAATTATATTTATAAAGTATACATACGTTTAATTGTATGTTTCAATCCTTTACGTCTATTTGTATATTTTTCACTTAACTTACACTTACTCATATATTTCAAACTTTTAAATGTTTTTTTTTAACTGTATTGTAACTTAATTGAAATTTTAAAAAACAAAATATATTTTGAAATTTTGGACAATTTTTCACATCTAAAACTCAATCATTTACTAAAAGAACGAAAGAGGGAGAGCGAAAGAGAGAGTGAGAGAGAGAGAGAGAGAGGGGAAGAGAAAGAAAGTGGAGAAGGATAACCTTTAATTTTGACATAAATTTCAAACAAGTGCAATCATTTTAAACATGATACGGTTCATTTCATCTATCACGTCACATTTCGATTCCTTTTAAAATATCGATCGCATTTTTCTTGCCATAATTAATTGCACTATTAATGGTTAATTAATTAATTATTTCCACAAAAAGATACCAATTTCATTTGCTATTAATTGTGGTATAGTTAATTCTTTCTTTCTTTTGTTCTTTTTTTTTGCACAAAATAAAGAATTTAAAAAATATTCCATTGAAGTTAATTAATTGCAATGAAATTTTTGGTAATGACAATTTATAAAAATTATTTCATTGAAGCTAATCAAAATAAATTTTTTTAGTAATGCATGTTTAACACTTTGCATATGGTTATAAAGCAAAGTTTATTAATTCATTTCTGTATTAGAATTGATTATATCAAAAAAATAATTGAACATTTTATTCAATTCAGTCATATAAAACTATGAAATCTATTTTTTTTTTTTTTAAAAAAAAAATTCTTTACTTTTAGAAAGAATTATCGTTGGCTTAAATATTTAAAACTTATTCTATTAAATTCATTTCACTAAGTTATTCCATTAAATCTACATTTGTTATATGTTAATAATTTGAATCATTTAGCTTAATATTTAATTAAAAATTTCCAACAACATATTCATAAATTTATCTTGAAAATTTTTAAAGAGTAAATATTGTTTCGATTGTAATTTTACTAAATCATTGCTGTATTAAAATTGAATATATTGGATTTTGGAGAAAATAATTGAGTATTTTATTCAGTAATGTCATGGAAAACTGTTAAATCTATTTAAAAAAAAAAAAAAAAAAAAAATGAAGAATTAATATTTAAAACTTAATAATATAAGCAATAAGAAGATGAAAATGATCATATAATGATTCTGTCAAATTCGTCATCATCAAATATTATGATATTTGTAAATTTTATCGATAACATTAAGCTAATATTAATAATTAATTTAACATTAGCTATCATATTGAGTGTCAGTATCAGTTGGAGTTAGTCTAAAAGCTTTCCCGAGATATTTTTCTCGAGATATGTCAAATACTTTTGATTACTATCAATGTATAAATTATATTATGTAATGAAGTGATTTTAGCTATTTGGTAAATAATTTTAATTTATTGTATCAACAACTAATATAGAGAATTTTTCTTTTTTGTTGGCAAGAAAAAGAAATATAAATAAATATTTAAGTAAAAAAAAAAAAAAAAGAAACATTTACTATGATTTTAGAAACTAAATAAATATGTTGGTTACCCATAGCAACAAAATATATGGTTGAAGTAAAAAAAAAAAAAAAGAAGAAAAAAGGAAAAAAAAACAAAAGTTGCATTTTCAACAATGTTTGGAATAAATAAAATGGCGAATAGAAGTATATATTGAAAACTGGAATAGAATGATACAATGTTTTTCAGTTTTATTTTATTTTATTTTACATTTTCAGCATAAATTTTACTAATATTTAACCATAAATTTAAACAATTATTTTCATTTTGTTAGAATTGAGAATGGGAGAAAAAAAATTGTGATAATTTTGATTTAATACATAATTATACATTATCTATGCTTTGTTGAAAAATCAATTAATTATGATTAAAAAGTAATTTAAAATTTGGAAGAATTTTTTTTTCGTTTTTGTAATTCTTATTTAAATAATTTGAATAGAAAGAAAGCCTAAAGTGTTTGTTATGAAAGCTTAAAATATCAGTAATTGAAAATAATCACATAAATGATGGATTAGCTTAGAATGATGGATGATAAAGTAAAAATTGTGATTGTTTCAGTTTGAATAAGAATTTTGTTCACTTTTTCTTTCCTTTCTTCTTTCACTTATCAGAAAATATGATTACATCTAATTGTTTCCTATTTCTAATAAACTTAAAAATATAGCAGATAGACAAAATAAAATAATTGAGAAAAAAAAACATACAAAAATTGAATATGACAAATAATTAAATCATATTTTCTTTTACTAATAATCATACATTATGCAAATTTTGCTGAAAAATACAAAAAAAAAAGTTTAAAATTTCTCGAAAATTTTAATCATTTTGATTAAAAAAAATGTACACAAAGAAATGAGAAAAAGAAAGAGAAAAAGGAAAAGAGATTGAGGATTAGAATAGAAAATGTAGAAATAATGGAAATTGAGCACTTTGAAAAAGGAAAATAAAAAATGACAAATTGGAAAATTTTTGCTCGGCAGTGACGAGAGCAGTTGATGATGATGATGATGATGATAATGATGGATAATGACAATGATAGTACCAATAATGATGACGACAATGGTTAGTAATTAATAATGATGGTGATAGTAATAATAATGATAATAATAGTAATTAATAGTGTATGATGGTAGTGATGGTGATAGTGCAAATAATGATGATGATTATGGTAAATTAATTGGTAATGATGATAATAATGGTAACTGATGATGGTAGTGATGGTGATAATACAAATAATGATCATGATAATGGCAAATAATTGATGATGATGATAGAAAGTAATTATTAGTGTATAATGGTAGTAGTACAAATGATGATGATGATGATAATGATAAGTAGATGGTAGTTGGTGATGATGATGATGAGTAGATGTTAGTTAGTGATGATGATGATGAGTAGATGATAGTTAGTGATGATGATGATGAGTAGATGATAGTTAGTGATGATGGTGATGATGATGAGTAGATGATAGTTAGTGATGATGGTGATGATGATGAGTAGATGATAGTTAGTGATGATGATGATGATGATGAGTAGATGATAGTTAGTGATGATGGTGATGATAAATAGATAATAGTTAGTGATAATAATTCAGTTTTGCTAGGAAATATTGTGGAAGAGTTGAATGAATGTTAGGACAGAATGACATAATATATTTTATATGGAAAAGAGAAAAAGTTATTGGCAAAGGCGACGACAATATATGTTTGTCGTTAAATAAAAGGCTAAAAAAGAAAAGGAAGGAAAGTTATTAAACTAATGTGCAATGTTATTTTTCTATTCGTTTTAAAAATTTTTAGTCGAGAATTGGGCTAACAATTTGTCACTTTTGATATTAGTGGTGAAAAAATTTTAATGAAAAACAAAGTGAATGAATGAACGAATAAATAAATAAGAAAAAAAAATCAATTAGTATAAATAAACAAATATATATGATTAATATTTTAAATAAATAATTACTGAAAAATAATTTTGCACTAAACTAACCGCACATAACATGTAATAGTAATTTATCAAAAATTATTGAAAAATTTTGACAAATGGATCAATCATTTATTTTTGATTGATTAATTAAAGGAAAGCAATCATCATCGGAACTAAAAAAAAAAAAAAAAAAAAAAAAAATGATAAAATATTATCGACGGTAAAGTAAACAGATTAAAATGACGAGAATTTTGATAAATGATTTTTGTTTTTTTTTTATTTCTTATCAATTTTAACAACTCTTTCATTATTAACACCATAATATTAATGAATAATAATAATAAATAAATAAACGAATAAATTTACATTTATTATTTCGAGAGGAATGGAAAAATTTACAGTTAAATTTTAATAATATTTCAAAACAAATATGTTTTTTTTTTTGAAGTTTAAAATTTGAATGAAATTTCTATTAAAATATATATAGCAGATAGAGAGACATATGTGATGTCTAATGACATGTTGCAGACACGGTGATGGATGAGGTTAAGATAGTGGAAAAATTGGATGAACGAAGATGGTGAGTGGAAAATTCTGCATCTCATCATTTATTGTCAATACCAGTTTTTGCATTCAATACTATTTCGGGATTTGATGTATCCGGGAAACAGGTGAAATGATGGTTGAACCGTTTACCCGGCTGATATATTGTATGATATGTTCATGATGATAATAATTTAGTGATATTAGCTGATCACCGAAGATAAATTAATGAGGAAGGAAATGATAAAACAAAATGTTAGGTTAAAAAAAAGGTGATAAAAAGAATAAAATAATTATTGGATGAAATTATTTCTAATGATATTTTGTATGATCAAATTTTTCATCAATGTTTTTGCCATTGTTTGATTTTATCATCAAATATATTTCAAGTGTTTCGTTTTGTCCAGCAGTTAAATTGAGTTAAAGGAAAAGATAGATGCAAAGGGAAGAAACAAATTTTAAAAATAAAAATCATTTTGAATGAATTATTATTTCATACATAATTTACTAGATTATTCTGGAAGCAAAAAAAAAATTTATTAAAAAAAAACTTACAAAATAAAATTGTTATTATTCCTTTGAAGCATACATAATTCAAATTTGTATCAAATAGGAAATTTTCTATTTGGCTGTGTTTTTTTTTTTTTTGCTTTTTCATACCAAAAATTTCAATGATGTCGTTTAACATTCAACTTTAACCTTTGAATTCATTTCTTTTCTCGAATAAAATAGGATAAAAATTTATAATCAAAAATTTATAATTGGAATAGGAAAAAAGTTCATAAATTAACACTATTAATATTTGTTAAACTACAAATTAATCATTTATTCAAAGCATTGGTGATTATAAAATGCACAAAAATATGCTTCTTTTTTTTATCAATCATTCGTTATCTTATCAACATCCTTATCATCATTATTAATATTAATATTGATAAATCGAAATTATCTCCGAATGTAATTATTAATTTTGTTTGCTTCATTTCATTTCTTTGATGTGACATTCATTCATTCATTCATTCTTGTCAGTCAATAATTGGCTAATTTTGTTCATATTTATTGACATGTATGAAATAATAGTCGTATTTTTATAAGAAACAAAAGTTTTTTTTTTTAATTTTCTAAAAAGTTTTTCTTTTTTTTTTTTGTTCTTATCAAAATACGAAATATTATTTCATAAATGTTAATAAAGTATGAAAAATTAACTGCAAAAAACAGAAAAATATACGAAACAAAAAAAAAATCAATTTTCAATTTTTATTCATTTCTTTCGTTTTTTTTTAAAGTTACAAACAATTTGAGTTATTCTTGAAAGTATTTAATCAAACAAGTCTACTGAATAATTTCTCTTTTTTTTTTTTTATTTTTTTGTTAATATTTCTTTTCTTGATGAATGCTATAGCAATCATTTCTTTAGCTGATTCATAAATTTATAACTTTTTTTTTTGGACGAATATTTTAATTTCTTTTTGACAGAAAATTTTTGAATCATTACAAAACGAAAGAGAGCGGCAAATAGAATGAAATAAGAAGATTTGATCGATTGATTGATTGATTGGCTGATTGATCGATTTAAAAAGATATTAGTTGCGTGTATTTCCATGAATAATGATCATGCAAATATTTCAGTTAAATTTTCTTTTATCCGTGAATTCTATTCATAAGTGACTGAGTTGTAATGTTTGCAAAGTATTCAAAAAAAAAAAAAAAAAAAAGAAAAGTTTAATTTGAATTAGAAATTTTTCATGAAAATTTCATAAAGTATCGATGAGTCATAAAATACATTTATATATATATAATATTGCAATCATTACGATAGGATAATGAAAAAACAATTAATGGATTAAATAAAATTTTGCAAAATTGAAAGAAGAAAGAAAACAAAGCTAAATTATGAAAAAAAATTGTGAATTTAAAAATTGTAAATTGAAAAATATGAATTGAAAATTATGGAGTTTAAATTTTGAAAATAATAATTGATAGGGAGAGAGAAGAGAGAGAGAAGGAAATGATGATGATGATAAAAATGTTTATAGATATCAAATAATATGAATGTAAGGAGTACTAAAATAGAAAAATAGTTTTGAAAGCATTAAATTATTTAAATTATAACTCAGAAAAAAAAAGTCCTAGGAATTAGGTCAATCTGTAAATTGTCTCCTTGAGACTTATTTCTTTTGATCTTGTCCTTGTTTTGTTGTGCGGTTTTTTTTTTTTTTTTTTTTTTTTTTTATTGAATTTTCGATCTTTTTTCATATTTTTTTTTAAAGAATAACTAGAAATAAAATTTGAATTTAAATCAAATTTTTGTGCCTTAGTTTTATCTATGGCTTTCCTAACTTTTCAAATTTTTATCCAATTAAAATTTTGTTCATAAATTATTCATACTTTTTTTTTCCACTGCAAAAGAAAATTAATAGTATCGCAGATGTTTCAATTTGAGAAAGTAAAGTAAAATGAATTATAAATATTTATTTATTATCTGTTTATCATTTTAATAAAAAAAAAGAAATTTAGTAGTAGGGAAACAAATTCAACAGAAATCAAAACAAATAAACCAGTATATTCTAAATAAATAAAAATAAGTAATGTAAAAATAAAATAAACGAATAAATAAATAAATAAATACATATATGAGATAGCAAAAAAGATTGAAATTTTATTTCAAATAAAAATAAAAAATAAGGACAAGTAATAATAATAATAATAATATTTATTCGATTACAATTTTAATCATAATTATATTTAACATACATTTAAATTATATTCCTTCATTTGGTATGATGATGACATAATACATAATATAAGTAATTAATGCAACTTCAATTTTTAAAATTTAATCAAAACTAAAATTAATAGAAAACACAAAAACATTAATCGTTGATCGTTTATTACGGCCAATCTTAAAAAAAAAGAAGAAAACAATCACAGCTAATGTGAACAAAAAAAAAAAAAAAAAAAAAAAAAAAGAAAACAAATTATAATTAAAAATAAAATAACAAATTTTGTTAAAAGAATTCGTTTTTTTTTTTTTTTTTGTATTCAAATATTTAAAAAAAGATAAAATGAAAAGGAAAAAACACTGAGATACATCTGTTTATTGTTTTCTTCTGATGAATATTTCTTTTTTTTTTTTTTTTTTTTGATTACTAAAATAAATAAATTTTATTTAGTGCTAATTTTTCCATTCAATGACATATTTACTACTTCATAATTTAAAAAAAAATATGACACTTTTTGTTTTGCTTTTTTTGAGTGAGTAAATAAACCTTTTATAATTTTCTTTTTTTTTTAGACAGTAACTAACTCTTAAGCAAATATCAATGTATTAAAAATAATTTTATTTATAAATGTAATTTTTTTAAAAATTTATTTTCATTCATTTTCAATAGTTAAACGAGCGATTTCTCTGACTACTGTAGGACACTTTTTTTTTTTAACAAAATGGTTTCAAATATTTTAAATTGAATCATTTCAACAGTTTATTGTAATCATTTTAGTACAATTAATTATGTTAAACTGTAATATCTCTGATTACTTTCAACTTTTTTTTTGATAAAGTAAAAAAAATTATAACCGTTTAGTTACTTTTTTTTTTTGCATTTTTCATATGTGCATTAGAGTAGAACTTAATAATCAAATAAATGATGAAAATAATATGTCAATTTAAATACAAAAAAAAAAAAAAGAAAAACCAGTATTTGAATTTCCTGTAAAATGTTATTACAAAAAAAATTTTGTTCAAATTAAATCAATAACGATTTATTCATATCACAATACAATCATTAATCTCTCTTCCTTTTTTTTTTTTTTTTTTTTAAATTTAAATTTAAAAATTTATGTATTATAACCTAATATATTCATTATCTGAACGAATCCATTGTACATCACTACTTGAAGGTATATCAACATCAATAACATCTGTAGATGCAATTATACTTTGTACTGGTAGTGAAGAGTCTAACGAATTGATATTACCCTCTGAAGAGGGTAACATCGATAATGCTGATACTAATGCTGGTTGTTCAAATTCAGCATCATCAATACTCGATATCTGATGCTGATCTGGTTGTTGATATGAAGAGCATTGTTGTTGTTGTTGTAGATGTTGATATTGTTGTTGTTGATATTGTTGTTGTTGATGTTGCTGTTGTTTTAAGGCAAATTGAAGTTCGACAATTTTTTCCGTTAATAAATTCATTTGTGTGATAAATTGATTTTGGGTACGATGCATTTCCCATAATGTTTCATGCATATCATTATGTAACTGAAAAGAAAAAACAAAAAAGAAAAATAAAATAAAATAACAAATTATAGAAGGCAAATTGATAGTTGAAAATGTCCTATGAATAAAAAAAAAAAAAAAAAACTGTTAAAAAAAAATATTTATTTAACTATCAAAATATCTATGCTAGTATTTGAAAATATTTTCTATCCATCATTTTTCCTAAATTTTTAAAAATTATATTAAATTACTATTATTTAAATAATCATTTTTAGTTTTCTTCTTTTCTTGTAACAGCACAATTGTTAATTTAAATTTGACTTTTAAATTGATTTTATGAATTTTTCCATCCTTTTTTCTCGTGCATTTATAAACATTTACAACAATTCAACGCTGTATTTTATGTTTTTTTTCATTTATTAAATATGCATATTATTTCATTTTCATTGAATTCAAATATGTGTAAGTAATATTAAACTTTTCCATGTTATTAATTCCATTAAATATCAATCAATCAATCAATAATTCTAACCTTCCCGAAATCTAATAACAAATTTCCACGTTCTTGTAATTTTCTTTGATCCCATTTGATTCGTCTAAATTCATAAATAGCTTGTAAGAATCGCCTCTGATGATGCCTCAATCGTAATTCATCACCTTTATTGCATGAATTCTTGTATTTATGAATAAACCTAAAAATATTATCCAATTGAAATGAAATAAAATAGATAATAATGGTGATAAAAAATTCTAATAAATATATGATATACAATTTAAAAAATATTTCATTTGAAACTTCAAAATGAATTCTTAAAAAAAAAAAAAATCTTTCCAATTTTCATATTTCTAAATAATTTTTCCTTTTTTTTCTACAATAAAATTTTAATTTTTAATTTTATTTTAATTTTAATTTATTTCTTTTTTTTATTTTAATTTATTTTCTATTTTCCTCATCTTTCTCATTCTTTCTCTTTTCCTTAACTATTCCTGATTTTTTTTTTTTAAATAAATATTTTGAAATGATTTCGTGCATATAAATTTTAATTAGAAAAAGAAAAATTGCTTAAAAAAAAAGAAAAAGTCCTCATAAACTGGCCATGTTTGTTGAAGTACTAAAGCAGCTGCATTCTTTCGCTGATTGGTAAGTTTTGAATCAGCCATAAAATTATTGACATGTTTTTCAGCTCGACTTAACTCTAATTTTCGTGATATGACAGCGATTAGAGCTGATGATACTCCAGCACCCTATAGGTAAGAACTTTTAATGAAATGTTGCTTTATTATAATATTAATAAAAAAAGAGATAAGCTTAAAGGTTTAAATGTTTAATTATTTATTTAAGTATTTGTTTTAATTATTTATTTAATTATTTTTATTTAACTATCTTCGTTACTCCTCCAAAGTAAACATCAATTTGTCTGTCATTTGAGCCGAAAAGTCAGTAGAGCAAATAATCTATCTGAGTGAATTATCAATAAAATTCTAAAGTATATGATATGAAGAAATAAGAGAATTCACTAAATTTTATCATATAATATTAAAATAAAACATACTACAATGCCGGTTGTTACTGCTAATGTTCGACCACAATATGTATTTGGCACAATGTCACCATAACCTAGAAAATTTCAATAAATGTCAAAAAATTAAAAAGAAAAAAAATGAATAAATAGAAAGAAATTATTGGACATGCTGTGAATTTAATAATATACTATTAATAATCGTTTTTAAATTAATTTTAAATTTAGTTAATTAAAAATTTCCACAAAATTTTCATTTTTTAATTTTAAAAAATTTTATTTTTCCTATACATAAATGAGAATTATTTTTTAAATACAGAAATTTATTAATAATCGATTAATCACACACAAAATTAATACATTATTGCAAAAAAAAAAAAAAAAAAAAAAAATTATAATAAAAATTACATCAATGCAATTTACAAAATTTAACACACATATATTTATAACTTACCAACTGACATAAATGTAACCTGAAATTATATATTTTAGTTTTATGCATTTTAATAAAAAGTAAAAGTAAAAACATTTCAAAGCAAAGAATAAAATATTTTATCAAAATAATTCAATAATACAACATTCTATTTTATTATAATTTAGATTGCAATTTATTTCATATCAGAATGAAATTAACTAAAATTTATCTCAGAAATTTTTTTTTTTTCTTTTCAAAATTGTTTTATGCTTAATTAATTTTTGCCTAAAATTTATGATTTTTCATTTTCTGCACTGTTTTACTTCTACACTTCTTATTTCCATGAAAATTTTTTATCAAATTATCAAAATTAAGATTTGATAATTTAAATTAAAAAAAATTTTTTCATTAAATTAAGCGAAAAAGAAAAAAAGTATTGAGAAGATAAACTTTTTCTTACTATAATAAACCATAGTGAATTAAGATAGTAATGTTTCGCTGATAACTGTCCATCATATCTGTAAAAATTGATTGCTTATGAAAATATTAAAATTTTTTCATTAATTTCAAAAAATAATATTCAGTGTTTTTTATACAAATTTTAACAAATATTTGTTAGAAAACTTTAAATTAAAAGATTAAAAAATTCAAAGGAAAAAAAAAGGAAATTAGAATTTTTTAAAGCAAAATATATTAGCAACAAAAAAGCCAATGAAAAATAAATGAAAATTTCAAATTATCATGGAATTAAAAAACAAACAAACAAACAAACAACAACAGAACATACCGTTCGCATTGTGTAAACATCCATGACATACAAATCCAAAATGATACAGTAAATACAATTAGTACCCTGAGAGGATGATCAGCCATCATTGTTTTGATCACAAATCGAAAATCCATCGATATTCGATTTAGAGCAGCAATTGAACGTGTTGCTGCATCCTGTAAACTGTTTTTAAAAATATTGAATGATTAACATAATTCAATTTTTTTGTTTTGTTTTGTAGATAAATTATTTCTCAGAAAAAATATGATAAATCCTTTAACAAAAATTTTAATAATTAAATAAAAGAACTTAAAATTTTTTTAAACAAATTTTTTTTTTTTGAAAATAAATGTTAAATTTTTAATAAGCTTAATGAATCATATCTATGCGTTTGCATGCAAAAAAAAAAATAGTTTTTCATTAATAATATTAGTTAATTAGAGGTTAAAGAGTAATGATAATAAAGATATAACTACTTTTCAATGTTCATTAGCTTATTGCAGTAAGCTATGATAAGAGATGGAGGGACGAAAAGAAAGAAAAATACTGAAATAACCGGAAATTAACCTGAAATTGTTTACTATGCAGTACCATAAATCTACAAAGAAGGTATGCACGAAGAAACATTGGTACTGATAGTATAACGTCAACAGGTACATCAACCATTGTAGCTTTCCGGCTATCAGGATGAATGTATGACCATTGCATTATTCCTGTACCTTTAAAAGGAGAGAAATTTAATAAAGTTAATTAAAAAGTTAAATTAAAAAATTAAATATTACTTAAGAGGTATGTGTCATCAAAAAATGAAGCCATTTAAATTACCAATTCTTGTTTTGCATTCATGGAAACCGGTTTCCGGTTTGAAAAATTAGTTCTGCTATATAAATTAATCAACCTTCCCTACTAGTTATTATTTATTCTATATTCTTGGATATATATATATTTTTCCTTATTTATTATATATTTTCCTTTTTGATATTTTGTTTTTTTTTATTTAGTTTTTTTACATTTTCTTTTATATATATATTTTATTTTATTTTTATTTTTTTAATATTTTTCTTATAATTATATTATATCCTTTATAAAGCTACCCGTTGCGTGTTGATATAATCTTCATTTTTGTGTTAAGGTTGATTTGTAGGATTTAATTACCCAAGTTTGGGGCAAATAAGATATCTAGCAGTCATGACAATATACAAATAAGCAAATTGAATAAGTTGGTAAATAAGCAAAATAATACTAGTAATAGCTTATGTTGTCCATTTTAATTATAAAATCTTAAAAAAAACTGCATATAGTTATATATAGTGAGAGATGTATGTAAAATAAACTTAAATTGCTAATTCAATAATACAATAACAATAATCAATAGAATATCAGTAATCAGATCAATTGAAATTAAATTAGTAAGTATCAAATAATAGCTCTTTTTTAAAATTTACTTTGTTATACATTAATTTTCTGCATTCTGTAATAAAGAAAATATAAATTTAAAATTTCATTCGATATTAAAAAAAAATAAAAAATTAATGAAATAATTCAAAGAAAACCTGGAAATGGACAAATAGCACAAACAATTAATTCAATAGCTAATTTAATAGCTCGTTCAGTTGTAAGTGCTACTCTCCAGTCATCTGCACCACTATCTATTAATGCCATTTTTACCTAAAAATTTCTGTTATAATTTTATAAAAGTTAAATTTCTTTATTTACTTATTATAATAATTTAACTAGAATTAAAAAAAATTTTTTTTTAGATAAAACCAATTAAAAAAATGATTTAATAATTTAATTCAAAAAAAAAATTAATGATTTTGAACAAAATTAATAATTTAATTTGGAAATTAAGAAAAGAATTAGTAAAACTAGAGTTAAAATTAATTGTTGCGAAAAATTTTCAAATATGCATAACAAATTATTGTAATTTATTTTTCATAATTGTACTAAAAATTTACGGTTGAATGTAATTTTATCTTTATCATACCAAAATTATTATTTCAAATCATTTTTATTACTTATTACTTAAATTTTAATACTTATTACTTAAATTTAAGATTGACAATTTATGCATTTAGTTTCTTTATTTTTTGATATAATATCATTCATTTTTTATAATTTTTTTATTTTCAAATATAATTTCTTTATTTTTTGATATGATTTAGCTTTTGAAAATTATTATCAAAAAAAAAATTTTTCATTATCAAAATAAACAAACACATACTTCAATAGAATGATAATGAACTAAACTAGCCATCAATGCAATTGTACATAATACACATAATGTTCGAAGTAATAATGAAATTGGATGTGTCTGAAATCAAAAAACAAAGTTTCAAGTTTTCGTAATTAAATTATCAATTATTAAGCTAAATATAGAAATTGAATTATTTTTAGATTAAAATGAAATATTTTTAAAATAATTAATAAAAAAAACATTGTTTATTTATTTGTTTATTTTTGCATAATTTACATAAATTTATTTATATAAATAAATATTCTATGACAACAACAACAACAACAACAACAACAACAATATTATCGATTAATTTTCGATGATATAAAAATTTTAACCGATTTTACCTTATTGAAATCACTATCACCGGTTGTAGCGGTAATTTCGGAATCGATAATAATAAAAATAAGTCCAGCTAAGCCAAATGCTAATGAAATTTCACAAATTTTATTCCGTTTAATAAAAAGTTGTTTCCGTAATCGACAGCGCATTTTAGCTGTGCTATCGCTGAAAGCAATCGAATGTTTTTATTATAGAACTAAAAATATAACGAATAATTAACTTTAATTTCAAATATATAAAAAAATTGAATAAAAATAAAATAAAAAAAAAAATGTAAATTAAAAACTTTTGCTGAAGTTTATATTAAATATTCAAATAATTAAGCAAAAAATATTGTAGGAGAAGGGGAAAAAAATGAACAAATTAAACATATGGTATAATATGAATTTTAAGAAAATAAATGGAAAAATGAAAAAAAAAAAATAATTGAGAAAAATTAAATAAATTAGGTAAAAGTAAGAAAAAAAGAATGAAAATATAAATTAGATAGAAAAAGCAAGAAAGAAAGGAAAAAAAAATATTATGAAAATTAGATGAAAGCAAAGTAAACCAACCAAAATGGATATTTATATATTAATAAAAGTTTCATTATAAAATTGATGAAAATTTTAACCATTTAACAAGTAAAAAATGTAGAGAGAGGGAAGAAAAAGAAAGGAAAGAAAAAAATTTTTAATATTGTTAATGGTGATGATGATAATGATAATGATAATGTTAAGCATGATTATAATTATGAGTACTTACGGTAATTGTTATGGTTATATATATATCAAAATTTTCTAATGATAACATATTAATGATAATAATGATAAAAGTATTAGCAATAATAGCGTTTATGCTAGCAATAATAAATCATAGGCAAAAAGATAACTTCTGATATTTTATTTTTATTAATATATAATAAAATTTATATTTCGAGATTTTAAAATATTACGGATTTTTTTTTCCTGATAATACTGAAAATATTATTGCATTGTAAATCTTTCCTCATTTTTACTTTTAAATCATCGAACTGAAAAAATTATAATCAGCAAATCATTTTATCAGAAGTGATTATCATAGAGCAGTAACAAATTCTAAATGTTAAAATAAGGCCTTTTTAAAAATTCTAAATGTTATTATTTTTACTCAAAGTAATAACTATTATATTATTTTGAAAATATTTTTATTTCTAAGTTTTCATTTGAAAATGTACAAGCTGGAAAATGAAAATAAGTAAAGCTTTTAATAATTAAAATCATTTATAAATTTATTCATTGAATAGCTCAGTGTTAATGGAAAATCATTTTTAAAAATATTATAATTATTAAATAACAATAGTTAAAAATTAGTATTAAAATAATACAATCAAAAAGTTTTAGTTCATTTAAAATAATAAACATAATATTTTATTTTCAATACAAAGACTAAAATAAAATAAAATTGAAAAATATTATTAAATGGACTAAATATTTGATGATTAATAAGATTTATTCAAAAAGAAAAAAAAAATTTATATTTAAATATGATACCATGGTATGATACTATAGGAAATCATAATTTTTTTTTCTTTTCCCTTCTTTTTCCTCTCTTTTTCTCTTTTTTTTTGTTTTGTTGTTGTTGTTGTTGTTGTTTTTTCTTTGTTGTCGTTTTTTTTTTTTTTTTTTTTTCAGAAGATTAAAAGGATGTTTGTTGTTGAAATTGAATCGAAGAGTTGTAATAAGACGTCAAAATTTGTTGCTTTCTGATCGATAATTTATACAAAATATCAAAAATCACAGCAAATACTTTTCGATAGCTTTCATTTCATTATTAGCTTTCATTTCAAATATATCTGTGAAAATTTCAACATTTTAAAAATGCAAATTAAACATTTAAATAATTATGTAATTAATTAAATTTATTCACGTTTTATCTAAAAGCAAAGGAAAATTTTAAACTGAATTAAAAGAATGACAGAACAGAGAGGTTACATTAATGTTTAATGTTATAAGAAAAAAAAAGAAAAAAAAAATTTTGAAGATTGTTGACGTTTTACGTTGAAATAGAAAAAACTTAGCAATGTTTACATTTCAGAAAAATTGAGATTGTTCACGTTTTTATGTAAGAATTTAAAAAAAAATTTTTTGGTATGTTGACGTTTCACGTTAGAGTAAAAAGAAAGTCAAAATAGCTTCACGTTTTTTTGTATGAAGAAAAATTTTTGATATTATATTATTCATTATATTATAATTATTTTTTCTATCATTAAGTAATGAATTAAGAAACGAAAGTAAATTTTGAGAAATTATTTGGTAATTTAAAAATTTTCCATGTCTTTCTTAACTTATATTATACTGTCTAAAATTGCAGAAAAAAAAAAAAACAATCTTAGAAGTTTATTTATATTTTCATTTTTAATTATTCAAAACTATTAAATGGTAACAATTAAATCATTGTTATACGATTTTTTTTTTTAAAAAAAAAAGAAAAAACAAATCAAAAATAAAGCAAAATGACAAAAATTAAACTGATAAATTTAAAAATTTTTGAAAAATTCTTTAATACTTATATAAATAATTTTCTAAAAAATAATTTTAGCAAAATATTTCAATGTTTACTTCTTTGTAAATTATTTCTATTCAAAAATTCACAAAATTCAAAAACATTACCATTTGAATTTTAAAAGTTTGTTAAAAATTATTGAATGAAAGAGAGAAGGAATTTATTTAATGAATCCTCTCTCTCTCCCTCTCTCTCTCCCTCTCCCTCCCTCGCTCTCTCCCTGTCATTCTTCATTTCTTACTTTATACTCTAAATATCAAATATTATAAACTAATTATTTAGAAAAACACAATATCGATACATTCATATTTCTAGAAAATTTCGATTATTCTATGAAAATTGAAATTTGAAGCGTTGTTTATTTACAATTAATTAGCACACTATGTTTACTCAAATATATGCTTAAATTTCATAATTAAACTATGAATTTTTTGATTTTAATACTAATTATTGAATTAAAATTACGCAAATTATTGGTACAAAAAAAAAAAAAAAATTTCGTTAATACATAAGCAATCAATAAACAATAGTAAGTATTATGAAAATAATATTTTTTTAAATAATTACATCAAATAAAATACACTGTTTGCGCTTAATTAATTACACAAAATGATAATGTAAATTACTAAAAAGCAATTACTAAAAAATTTCCTCTAAATTAATTTTCTAAAAAAAAAAATAAAAAAGATAAGAATTCAAAAAAAAAAAAACAAAACAAAACAAAATCGAAGTAAAATGAAAATGAACAAAAATGCTGTCGCAATGGTACTTTTGCATTAAGGTTAAAATTTTTTTAAAGGCTTATATAAAGTTAAAATAAAATTGACAAATTAATTTGTACTTCGATTCTATTTTTCTTGTTTTCTTTTTTTTTTTGTTTTAATTTTAAAATTATAATATTGTTTAATACTTAAATCTATAATCTTTCATTTCCTTTTTTTTCACGATGTTTTGTCGAAATAAATTTTTTATTTTAAGCTAAATTTTACTCTTATATTATTGATTACATGATAACATTTCTAATTCACTAATTTATGTATAAATTTTATGTAAATGAATTAAGGAAATTTTTTTTTCAATAAAATTTCTTTTTATTTTTTGTTAAAATAATGAGAAAAAAAAAGATGGAAAAATGTAATTTTTTTTTTTAATTTATTTAATTTTATTCATATTCTTTACATTAACAAAATTTACATTAAAATAAGTCTAAATTTTATTCCTTTCTCTATTTTTTAAAAAAAAAAAATTTTTTTTAAAGCATATTTTATATTCAATGAAATAATTAATTGTCATTTAAAGAAAGAAAATTCGTTTTACTAAGGAATGCAATGAATAAATACTACAAAATATGGAATTTTTTTCATTTGCATTTCAAATTAATTTTAAATAATATAAGTTTGTAAAGTTGTTTCTATGACAATTAATTGTATTTATTCGTCATTTATGAGCAAATAAACTTAGCTAATTTTGAATTGAAAGCAAAAAAAAAAAAAATGGAAAAATGATGTAAAAGAGAGAGAAAGGAAAATGTGATGATATATTCTTTGTTTAAATCAGTAAAATATATATATATATATATTTTTTTTTTGGTTGAATTATTTGGAAGAAAAAGAGAGAAAGAGGTAGAGAAAAAGAAAAAAGAGAGAAAATAAAATTAAAAAAAAAAAAAATTACCTCTGAAATAAGTTAGAAAAATAATCAATAATTTAAAAAAAAAACTTGAGATTTTTCATTTCTAATAAAAGTTACAAAATATTTAAAGGAAAAGAAAATATAATTTAAAATTATTGATTTAGTACAAAATTATTTCTTTACTACTGTATTTTTAGCTCTTTCATAAATTTAGTTATGACTTTTACTATCGAAGAAAAAAAAAAATTATTTTATTTTAAAAATTAATTTTAATTGATTACTTTTGTTTTTTTTTCGAGCGATTTTCTAAAAATAACACTTAGTATATTATCAATGAAATGATATAATAAATCACAAGTTTTATTGATAAAATTTGATAAATAGTAGTAAGAGAGAAAAAAAGAAATTGGTTAAGAAAGATTAAAAAGTAATTCAATCTAAATTATCAAAAATAAGATTTCGAATTCAACATTTACACTCAGGTATCATATGAAAAATGAAAAAAAAAAAAAAAATGATAAACAATAAAATGAATATATGCCACTATAAGAGATGAATCAATTTCAACTCTCGAGATCATCAAGAAATAATCACGAAAATAACAACAAACTGAAAATTGATGAAAATCAAATGAAATGTTTTTGCAATTCATTATTTCAAATTTCATATACTTTAGAATATTTGAAAGTTTTCTTTTTCTTCTTGTTGCTTTCTTTTTTTGTACTTTTTTCATTTATTAGTTTTATTTAAAAGTGAAAAAAATTTTAACTTTAACAATTAGAAATGTGAAAAAAAATTTAATTTAAAACAAAATTTATTTTTTTTTTCTTTTTTTTCACAGCAAGATATTTAAATCAATATTGAAATTTTGTTTTGAACATTGATAAAAATGCATTACTAATCAAAGTGATGTAAACTGAATATGTCCAATCAAAGTGATGCAAACTAAGTATGTTCATATTATGTCACTAAGAAAAGAAAAAAGTTTGATTATATTAAATTATACATTAAAAGAATGTAAAATATAAGCAAAAAAAGAAAGGAAAAAGGAAAAGTAATATCTATTTGTACTTAAAAAGTAAAAAAAAAAAAAAAAAATGAAATGTTTGATACGAAAATGCCTTAGATATATCTTCCTAAGATATGTTTTCGTTTCATTACTTCCAGAATACGTACATTTAATTAGCATAAATAATAAAATAATGAAGTAGTAAAAAGAAATGTAAAATTATGTACTAAATTTTAACTTTAACACATTTCAAATTCAATTAAATTTCATATTTTTTTTAAAATATGATGTGAATTTTAAACAGTTAAGAAAAATAAGCAATGCTTATGGTTTATTCATTTATAAATTTATAAATAACAAAATATTAAAGTTACTTCTTTTTTTTTTTTTTGTATTGACAAGGAAATATTATGCATTTTTAAGTAAGCTTAAAGAAGTAACAAAAATAGAATTGCAAATTTAGCTTATAAATTTAAAATTTTAAAATTACAGAAACATTTTTATTCATTCATTATGTTTTTTTACAAAAGTCTTAGTTTTAAAAATTTTTAAAGAGTTTATATTAAATGAAATGAACATTGTCAGTTTCCTTGAAAAAATTTTTTTTTGCATTCATTTTTTTTTGATACCAAACAAATATGCAAATTATTTGTTTTCTAAAACATAATTTTAGTGTCCCTAAAAAAAATTTGAACTATTTATATAGAGCAGATTAAATGACAAATTTATGAATCATAAATGAATCAATAAAATTGAAATTAAATTTAAATTTCGAATCATTTTATTTGACATTAAATATTAATAGATGAAACTGCAGCATAAGAGATAACAAAGATGATGATTTAATAAATTTTTTTTTCACTTATGTTTTTCTACAAAATCATTATTATCATTATCATTATCATCATCAATAACATTATCACTAATAACAGCAACGTCATTATCAGTAGTAATTATCATTATCAATCATTGTGTAGCTATTATTATTATTGGTCAAATATTCAAATTACTATAATTTTCAATTATTATTATTATCGTTAATTGCTATCGTTATCATACCAATATAAAAAAAGTGATGATATCATTATGTTTATTTTTTTTATTGCTATTAATATTACCGTTATTATTATTATTATTATTATTATTATTATTATTATTATTATTATTATTATTATTATTATTATTATTATTATTATTATTATTATTATACATCGTCGTCATTACGACCATAATTCCATCATTTTTATCATCATTATCATCATTTTTTATCATCATTTTTACCATAATCATTATTGTTATTACTTTTTTGTTATTTGATAAAAAGAGAAGAATGGCGAAAAATAATATTGAAACAAACACAGTTATTTATTATGAAAATTATTATTATCAACTAATGCTTTCATACTATCTCTTATATAGTATTTCAAATAATTTCATCAATTTTATTTACTTTTTTTCAACTTTTATTATTATTATTAAATTCTTTATTATTATCATTATTATCATCATTAAACTATATTACCTGCTGATAGCAATTCCGTAACCACTTCGACGTCTCCTTATCACACGCACTGTTGTACTCGTTCTACGTTTTGAATCCTGTTTTTCAACGGTTGCATCAAAACGTATACCACCATTTCGATATTCATCTGAAAAAACAAAAGCAAACAAAATTATCGCTGACGTAGAGTAAAGTTAAATATAATTTAAACTTTCTCTTTTTTCTCTGAAATACCTTTAAATTCATAAATATTAGGTTTTTGAATTATTTATTATTTATTTTAATATATTCTTATTCATTCTTTACTTAAACATTGTATCATTTTGTTGACTTTTGAAAGTATTTTGTTTGTTTTATTATTAATTATTATTTGTCAATTATAAATTCCACAAATGATGTGTATTTATATTAAAAAATTCAACAATTCTGTTTAAATTTTGGATATTATACAATTCAGTATGCACATTAAAATATTTATTTGTTATTTTACTCATTTTTCTTTTTTTTTATTTTCATTTTCAGTTTTTTTTTTTTTTTTTTTTTATATTTTTATTATTTGAATAAACAATGTTTTCTAAACAATTTTTGTTAGAGCAATAAATAATCGACGATTTCATATAGATCACATGAATTAGATATGACTTATGATAAACTGTGATTTAACTAGATCATAATTAGATCGAATCGATTTACTTATTAAATCATACAATAATTAATTAATTTCACATCCGAGATGTGTAAATGCTAGTAATTAATGTTTCTTAGTGCAATAAATCATTGATAAAAGATGAATTTGTCAAATTATTTTTTATTTTTTAATATCACAAAACAAAACAAAAAAAGAAGAGTAAGATAAATTCAATCATTGCTTTTTGTTTTGTTTTATTAATTTCCTCAAAATTTGCATAATTTATTTTTGTTAACAAAATCAAAAGCTAACAAAAAAAAAAAAAATTAAATAAAATATATGGATGAGAAATTTCATCATAGCAATATTTCTAATTTATTAATTAGCGTTGAGAAAATAAAGGACTAAAATTAGAAGAAACAAAAAAGATCAAAAATTATTATTAACGAAGAGAATAATATAAATAGTTTATTATTTAAATTCATATTAAATTTAAATTTGAAATAATCTAAAAAAAAATAATGTATGCATCATATAAGCATTTCATATATATTTCAAAATTATTACGATTGATTTTTAAATAAAATTAATATTAATAAATGATATAAACAAAAACTTCCATTGAATAAATATTTTCATTTTTTTTTTTTATTTGTTTTAGCATAGCAAAATTTAAAGCTCGAAAACATGAAGGAAAAGGAAGAAGAAAGGAATTAAAAAGAATGAATATTTGGTATTTATAAATTTTATAAATATGTACCAAAAAACTAAAATTATTAAACAAAGAGAAAAATATAAGAAAGAAAAGCGAAAAAGCGGAAGAAAGAAAGAAAATTATATCAATAAATTGTTAAAATAATTTAAAAAAGAAACAATAATAAAATTGATTGTTATATAATTTAGAATGAAATATTTACATTTCATTTCATTTCAAAAAAACGACATGAAAAATAAGATGGAAATTTCATTTTTTGGTATATAATTAGCAATCATAAAATATTTCAATTTTTTTTTTTCAAAAAAAAAAAAAATAAAATTTTCTTTCATATCAGAAAAGAATTTTTTTTTTTGTTTTTAATATTTGCTAGGAAAGAAGAAAAATTCTTTTTTTATGTATTCAAAAATTGAAACCTTTTAGAAACCTCAAAAAATTAATTTTTAAAATATTTTTCGTTCGTCTTCGTTTTTTTTTTTTTCACTTTTTATTTATTCATATCAAAATTTCAATTTATATGAAAAAATTTTATTGGAAATATTAATAGAATACTTATTATTATTTAAGCATATCAGTTAAACAAATTTTCGGTAATTTATTTTTTTTTTTTTTTTTGATTTACATTTTAAATGAAAAACAATTGCTTTTATATGATTTCATTTCTTAGCCATTCTTTGAAAGAGTAAATTTTCAAAAATTTTATCAGTTAGTAATGATAAGAAAAATTAGAAATATGTCATGAAACATATATAATCATAAGTATTAATTCAAGTTAAACTTGAATAATTTCAATTAAACTGATATTAATTTAAGCATTAATAAATTTGATTTGTAAAAAAAATTAAATAAAATATAAATAGAAGAAAAAAAACGACAAAATAATAAATTTTTATTTAAATAGAAAAATTAATATCAACAATTTAATATTTTTTTACGAACTTTTCTTTTTCATTTTTTTTTTAATTTTTTTTTCCAACTGTAACAAAAAATTTAATAAAAAAAAAAATTAATATAAAATTGTTCTTTTCGCTGTTTTCTTTTTTCTTTTTTCTTTTTTTTTTTTTTTTTTCATGTTTTACTTTCGAAAAAGATAAAAAGATGATGAAAAGGTATGATTATATAACAATCTGATATAAACATTAAAATTTATCAGTGATATTTTCTCGTTAGATTAAAATGATTAAATCGAAATCGGTAGCTCTTTTCAAATTTTAATAATTACAATTTTATCCATGTCATTTATAAATTACAATAAACATGCAAATATTTATAAAAAAAAAAAAACGTTAACAAAAATGACGTATGTCTCGTTCACGTCATTCATCTTTCATCGCTTCGTCCTCCTTTTTTTTTTATTTTTTTTATTCAAATTTTTTTAAAACATTTTTTATGTTTACAATTTTTCCCTCAAAAATAGAGCAGAATGTTTTGCCAATAATTACATTTTAGCATAGATCAATATGATTAACACTAATAAACATAGATTAATTAATTTGAGATATTTGATATTCGATAATTTTATCATTAATCAAATATCAATTTCATATATATCTTTAATCAAATTCATAACTTTCAACCAAACCATTAATCATTTTATCATTTAATGAAAGAAAAAAAGAAAATTTATAATAAATTTCAATTCATTTGTGAAAAATGCTAGACACATATGTTCTGAAATAGCAATTATTTAAAAAAATTTGAAGAAAATAAAAAAGACAAAAAAAAGAAAAGGAAAGAAAAGAAAGAAAAGAGACCAAAAAAAAAAAAAAGTTAAAATTGAGGAAATAAAAAAAGAAAAGAAAAATGATATAATCGTGATTAAATGTAATTTTACTACCCTGTGAATTAACAAAAAAGAAGAAAAAAAAAAAAAAAACTTTAAAAAATGAAACTATTCAATCATACTTAGATTCTTCTAAAAATGGTAACATTTCCCTTTTTTTGCAAAAAAAAAAAGTGAAAAAAAATGGAAGAAATTGTTTTATAATATATACTTTTTAATGATAATGAAAACTATTATTATTATTGTTTTAGAAACAATTACTTTATAAATAAATTATTATTGCAAATAAAAGCTTTGCAAATATATCACAAAATATTTTATGTTATTGTTTATTATTATTATTAGTATTATCTGTAAATATATCACAAGTAAATATTTTATATTATTGTTAAATATTATTGTTTTCGTTACTGCCATATAAATAAATTATTAATGCTATTGTTACTACCGACAATAACGAAATACAATACAAACGAATAAATATCTTAAAAACATATCATTATTATCATTAAATTTATTTATCAACAAGAAAATATCCTTATCACCATAAATAATAAAAAATAAATAATATAAATGATAATTATTTATAAAATCCAATGATATCAAAGCATAGAGATCGATTCTGGATAGCATAAATATTTATAATTTTATTATAAATCGTAGAAAAAATAAATAAATAAACAAACATTGCATTGAAGATACCAAAAGCTTCCGAAAGGTAATATTTGACGAATAGATAAAAATGAAGGTAAAAGATAATTAATTATATAATGATTAATTAGTGATTAATTAATGTAAATTCGTTTGCATCTGTAGTTTATTAATAAATGTAATAATGTTTTGATATTTATGCTAATAGTTATTAAATTTCAACCTTCTATCATTTAAAATTTAAAAATAAATATATTAAAGCTTAAAAATTACATCAAATCAAAATTGGGAATTTATATTCAAATTATTTTTATGGCAGCTAGAAGTATCACATTTTCTCAATTTAATATTTTTCTTTTTTTTTATTTCTTTTCTTCTACTAACAAAATATTAAATGAAGTAGTATACAGGATTTTTTTTTTTTTTTTGATAACTTTAATAAAACAATTGATTATTGAATGATTATGTATAAATATATAATCGTTGAGGTGATTAATTAATTAATTATTTTTTTTTTTTGCCCAAATAAAGTCAAATTAAATACCATTTGAGTAATTTTTGTTTTGAAGAAAAAATTTTGACAAATATTTATAAGAAAAACTTTAAAATTTTTCAAAATTAAAAATAATATGGGAAATAGTATGAATAAAACAATAAACTTACATAAACACCATAAAATAAAATAAAAATTGATTGTGATAAATGTTAATTTTACTTTTTCAATATAAAATAAAAAATTCAACTTTGTCGACTTTACTAATTCAAACAAACGTATCTTTAAAACGGTTAAGGATGGTTAAAATAATCAAAAAATTGAAGTACATACTTCCCATTTTATTAGGTAAAACAGCTTTAGCTTTAATTTGTTTACTATTAATTCTCCCTTTTTTTTTTTTTTTTCCAGTTGCAATTTAAATTTATTTACACATTTGTCCATTTTGAATATGAGCAGAAGTACTTTTGCAAAGTTCCAAAACTGCCTAATTAAAATAATTCCGCATTGAATGAATACAATTTAAATGCATTCAAAAAGTTCATAAAGATAAAAATTTCTAAATTTAAAAGAAATTTTTTTCTCTTTTTATTCCTTTTTAAAAAAAAATGAGAAATGAAATAATTAAATTTTAACCTTTATCTTCATCCAGTTCCTGTAGAAGTGCGCCAGGTCCGGATTCTCGCCGCAATGCTGACCTTGATGTTAGTAATGATTTAAATTGATTTGTATACCCGCTGATGCGTAAAATATCTGAACTGACCTAAAATTTACTTTTTCTTTTTGTAAAATCAATCTTGATGAATTTAATAAAAGAATTTTCCAATTTGGAAACCGAAAATGTTTATAGAGCATATCCTTCAGCTTATGTTTATACTTTACATTTTTACAGAACTTTTTTTTTTTTATAAATTTTTATATTTATACTGTAAATCCCTTGTATCTATACTGTAAATCCTTTGTCTTATGCTTATACTGTAATTCCTCGTATTTATACTGTGAATCCTTCGTTTTATGCTTATACTGTAAATCCCTTGTATCTATACTGTAAAATCTTTGCTTTATGCTCATACTTTTATGCTGTAAATTCTTTGTTTTATGCTTATACTGTAGTTCCTCGTATTCATACTGTAAATCTTTTGTTTTATATTCATACTGTAAAATCTTTATACATTGCTTTCAGTAATATTTAAGGTACTTTTGTTTTCAATTTTATGTTTCTACCACCTTTTATATATTGTTTCCTATTTGATGTTTACAACTCAAATTACCTCTACGCCCATGAAATGGATTATTTTAATGTAAAAATTTAAGTTTGACAACAATAAGCATTTAAATATTTGCTTAAATCTCTAATTCTGGTTAAACATATATTTAAAAGGTATGAAAAAATTTAATAACTCCAATCTTTCAATTAAATTAGTTAATTACTCCTATAAAGATATAATAAATATTTAGGAAAATAAGCTTTTTCATTTTTCAAATTTGCCACTAAATTTCATTCTTTTTCTTTATCTAACAAAGTATCTTTATTTTTAAAATTGAAAGAATTTGGTAAGATAAGGAAATTACGAGGATAATAATTGCATTTGATTAACAATTGAATTCATTACTACGCCAGGTATACCATCAATAATTTATGATATAAAACGTTTTTCATTGGTTTTGATAAAAAATTTTATCAGATAATCGAGATACTTAAAATAAGTTAAATTTGTAATTGTTAATTTAAATAAACAGTTTTTAAAATATTTTAAAAGATATGAAATGAAAAATATTTTTAGATAATTTTTTTTTGTGTGACTTTTTTCACTCTTCTATTTTTTTTTGTTTTGTCAAGTAAACTTAATGAGATTTGATTGGTTTGTAAATAAAAGTACGAGATTTAATTTGTTTGCTAAAAAATGATTATGTTGTTTGTTTATTATTGAACAAATAATAATTATGAATGCAGTTAATAATTTAATGGTCAACTTTTTCAAATTGTAATCGATTTTTTTTTTTTTTTTCGAGAATATATTTTCAAATAGTTTCTCAACAAATCTTTCTATTTTCATTCATCATTTTTTTTTCGTTTCTATTGTTGAAATGATTAACTTTTTTTTTCTTAAAATAATATTGAAAAAATTTTTTAAATTTTTTAGTTTCATATTTGAAAATTTTTTATACCTTAAAAAAATATTTAATGTGACACATTTTTTTTTTCATTTGTTTAATTCATTGTAAAATTTAATTCCAAAAAATTAAATTTTCATTTTTGATTGAAACCTGAGCAATAGGATTGTTGAATAAACGCATTTCATCGGTGTGTGGTTTTATCAGAAAATCACAACTTCGTCCGAAACGTTTATCCAATTGACTAATTTCGTTACTGAAAATTACAAAAAAAAAAAAGGAGTGAAATAAATTATAATATTTGTAAAAATAAAGAAAAAAAATTCATAAATTTTATAATTTTGTAATAAAAAAAAAAATATTTTTAGGCAAAACTATAAATTTCAGAATTAGTTTTGAAAAAATAAATAAATTCAATAATAAATTTCAGAAAAAAAAATCAACAAAAAAATTATTTTATATTATTTTTTACGGTAAATATTAAAAATTATGCATAAAATTTAAATATAAAATTATTGATTAATTTTTGAAAATTTTTGCTCGTATTAATGCTAACTTTTATATATAATCGTATTTTTTTTTTTTGGTAAGAATTTTTTACTTTATATTATTATTATTATATATCGGTTTTTTAAATAATTAAATAATACATCAATATATGAGTTATTAATTTTATTTAACTGTTTTTTTTTTTTTTTTTTTTCCATTTTTGTTTTTTATTTAAAAGGAAATCATAGAACGAAATGTAGTTGGTAGGAAAATTTTCGAACAAATACATTTCTAGATAATAATAATTAAAGGAACAAAGTTATAACTTTAATTTGAAATAATTCTTATCAGTATACGTACATATATGTATCACATAAGCATAGAAGGAAGATAATAGAAATGATAATGGATTAAAAAATATAAAAATAACTAAAAAAAACTTTTTTTTGTTTTTTTTTTTTAAAAAAAAAGATATAATATTAAAGAAATTGAGAAGTTTTCAGACATTAAAATATTTTTTTTTTTTTTGAATAACAAAATAAAATAAGACAAATGAAATAGAAAAAATTAGATTTATATGTAATATAAATATGAAAAAAAAAAAACTTTAACAAAAATTTGTGCATAAAATGCTGCAAAAAAAAAAAGGAAAAACAAAAAGCAAATAAATAAACAAAATAAATTAAATAAGTGCATTTAATTACTTTTTTATTCTACTTTTTTTGAAATAATTTTTTCTTGAAATTATCAAAAAAAAAAAAAAAAAAAAAACTATATAAAATTTTAAACCAATGTAATTAATAAAAATTGAAAAAATATTTAATTGTATATTTCAAAATTTCTTTTTTTTTTTTTTATTTCTAGAAATGTATTAATTAGTATTAATAAGCCTACATGGTACTATTCCGTGGTGATGAATTTGTTACCGTTGCACCTTTCTGTAGTGTTCGACCGTCCGGTCCACATACAGGCATCGTTGATATCCCCTGTTGCACCCTACAATTCTTTTCTTTCTCTCTTTTCCTCTCTCTCTCTTTTTTCGTTTCTTGAATTATGAGATTAAAAATAAATTTGATAATTTATTGAAATGAATCATAAAATTTTATTCCATTTCATTATGATAAGCTTATAGCAGTACAAAATTAGATTAAAATATATTATGATACGGTAGTTTCTTATGAATTATTTTCAATAAAATATGAGATCTTTTTTAGTTTAATATATGTTATATCATTCATTATTTATCATTTGATCACTTATCATTTGTCATTTGTTATTATCATTATTATAGGAAAATTATTTTTAATGTATAAAATAATAATTAATATCATATGAAATATTTTTATACTATAATATTTTCTTTTCAGCTTTTATTAATCATACTAATCAGTTAAATTTTTAGTTGTAATAACTGATCAAAGTTTAATTATAAAATAATACTTTGACAAATAATCAAAATGAAACGCAACAATAAAGTGACGTTTTATAAAAAAAAAAAAAAAAAAATAAGTTACGTGTTTCGTGCAAAAACATGCATGTGAGAATACGTATATTATACATGAATTTTATGCAAAATATAAAAATTTTAAAAGGGAATAAGAAATGAAATGAAATGATTGAATGAATTATTGCTTAGTAAACATAACAACCACAGTAAATTTCATTAAAAATTTAAAAATATTAAGTGCTTTTTTTTTTGAGAACTTTTAGATTTTACTATTTGTTTGATTGACAAAATAAAAATAATTATTATAGCTTATACAGTCAAATTTTTTTAAAACAAAATTGGTGAAAATAAAATTTTGATATTTTAGAAAGGTTAGAGGTCAGCAAAAAACAAGAAAGAAGGGAAAAGAACTGTAGTAGAAATTTAAAAATTAAAAAAATTGCAAACAAAAAAGAAAAATGAAGTAATTAGTAAAAAATAGTTTATGTAAAATTTTTTTATCCTTTTACTTTTACTAAATTATATGTTATTAGCCTAGCAATATAAAAAGGAAAATAGTATTAATTAAAAACTAATTGCGTTGTATTTGTTTTTAAGATTGCTTACAATTTGATATTAGCATAATTTTATTTTATCTAACAATAATTGAAAAATAATATTATTCATTTTTTCGTTTTTTTTTTTTGGATTGGAAATAAATTTTCATTAAATATAATAAAAAATATTAGGTATGCTAGAAATAAGATTTCAAAATTAAAATTGTAATATTTAATGATAAATTCAAATTATAAACTTGTTTACTGCATGATAAAACAACTGACGATAACTCAATGATTTATTGATTACTTATCAAATATGATTATTAAAAAAAAATCCTTCTTTTTTTAATAAAACTAAAACTAAATTTCCATATGCTATTGCAATTCCAATGTTTAAAATTTCAAAATACTTCAAAAATAGGATATTAATGTATTATAATCATTTTCTTTTCTTTTTTTTTTTTTTTTACAAATATATTTTAACATTTTATAAAGAGTTATTTTATTTTAACTCATTTTTTTTTCAAAGTGATAATTATAGTTAAAATGATATATGATAAGAATTATCACGTTTTCTCCTCCTTTTCTCAAATACATTTGATTGAAAAATTGCAATAGAAATTTTTGATCGAAATATTGAATTAATTGTATACTTAAAGAATCGAATTATAATAGATTTAATAATTTTTAAAGGCTATAAAATTTAACACCTAAAAATTTGAAAAGTTTCATAAAAAAATTTCAAATCAAAATATTCATTTATTTATTTGAATTATTAATGTACAAATTTTATAAATATTAATAAATGCAAACTAAAAATTGTAGCTTATTTTATAAACTTAAATACAAAGAATAAACTAATATTTAATGGATTATAAATGAATGCTGTGGGAAAAAGATAAAATTAATTTAAATTCATTGAGCTGAAATTTACATTTTCACATTAGCTATTATTAAAAAGCTTATTTATTGGTCTGACTAATTAATTATGCTAATCAATCGTTTAAAAATTGTGAATAAAAAAAAAAAAATTTTTTTTTCTTTTTTGAATCGATTTGATAATGAATTTAGCAAATTCTAAAAAAAAATTAGAAAAAAATAGCTTAAATTTTTGCAAATTAAATAACAGAAACAAATTGTACATAATTTTAGCATACAAAAAAAAAAAAAGAAATAAATAAATCAAAAATAGATTTCTATAATTTAATGATTTTGGTTCAATAAAAATTTAATTTTGAAGTAAGAAAAAAAAAAGAAAAGAGGAAAATTTCTTTTCATTTTATACAAAAATGAAATAAAATCATTTTTTGATCTGATTTTTGAAACATTTATTTTTCATTTTTTTTCCGTTCCTTTCTTTTTTTTTTCTTTTTTTTATTCAAAAATGACAAATTTTTATGAAACTAAAAATCATAAAAAATATTATCCAAATTCTGACAATTTTTACTTTAACTTTTTATCATAAATTCTTGTAAAAGTATCACTTACTTATTCTAAAGTAACGATTTTCATTTTTACTAAAGCAAAACTAAAGTAAAACGACAATACAATTAATTAGTTAAAAATTATCTTTTGAAGTAATAATTTTTTTTTGATTGCAATTTAAATCTAAAAGGTTAAAGTAAATATAGAAAGAAAGTATAAAACTAGGAAAGAAAAGAAAATAAATTAAAAACAAAAATTGTTTTAATATCAATAACTTTTTAAAGTTTTACAAAAAATTGTAAAAAAAAGGAACGAAAGAAATTTTGAAATTTTAAAAAATTTTCAATTTTTATCACAGAAAAAATTATTAAAAAGATGAAAGTATTACTGATTGAATGATGTGATTAAATGAAATAATCGAAACAATCAAAATAAAAAAAAAAATAAAATATGAAATATAAATTATTATACAAATTCTTTATATGCTTATCATTTTTTTTTCGATTAATTTTTTTATTTCTCTTTTTTTTTTTTGGAAAGAATGTTTAAAAAAAAAAAAAAAATGAAAATATTTTGTTAAAAAATTCAACAAATTGATTGCATACAAGAAAATATTATAGCAATTTTGAATGAATAATATTAAAAGTATCACAGCAATACTTTCTAACCAATTAAATTTTTTGAATTATAGAAAAATCATTTCACTCAGTGCTTTCTTTCTTTTTTCTTTTTTTTATTTACAATTAAATGAGTGTTAATTTATAAATTAAATTTTCAAAATTGTTAGAATTGAAAAGTAAGCGTTTTCTCTTTCATTTTTCTCTCTTATTTGAAAAAGAAAAGAAAAAAGAGAATTTTTGTTCATTTATAAAATAATTTTTTCTTTTTTTTTTTTTTGGAATTCCGACATTTCTTTTTTTTTTTTTTTTTTTAACATCTGTTATGCACTTTAGAGGTTGAAATTGAATTAAATATGATGATTGAAAATTTTTTCTATTATGCGTCATTTTTTTAAAATGATATTTTACCTATATCTCAGCACACACTAGTTTATGCTAATGTAATATTAAAAAAATTACTGAGTAATTTCAATGAAATTTAAAGTTTTTTAAGTATTACACAATTTATTATATTTCTTTTATCAACACATTATAGCATTTTATAATAAAGGACGATTTTAAATAAGTAGCAACAACAATAATAATAATAATAATAATAATAATAATAATAGTAATAATAATAATAATAATAATAATAATAATAATAATAATAATAATAGTAATAATAATAGAAATAATAGTAAGCATATTAATAACTAATAATAGCAATTGTAATAAGAATGATAATAATAGTAATAATAACTACTAGTAACAGTGGTAATAAGACTGATAATAATAATAATAAAAACGGAAGAAAGAAATTGATTTATAAAAATTATCAATAAAATATTAATGAAATAATCATCAGAGCTGCTCGTTGCTTGTAAAAAATAGGAAAAAAAAGATTTAATTATCATTTCTTGGCTAATTTTTTTTTTTTCTTTTTCACAGCTAATCATTTTACATATTCGTAATCAGTTAATATCTTATTGAAAAAGATTTTTTTTTTTTTAATAACAATCAATTATTTAAATGCATTGAAATTAATCAGTACTACTAAATAAAAAAATTTTTTTTTCTCTTTTAATTTTAATTTTTTTTTTTTTTTTTGATGGTAAAAAAAGGAGAGAGGGATTTATTCTAGTCAGTTGTTCATAAACATAAAAATAAATTGAAAAAAAAAAAAAAGAAAAATTGAATTAAAATACGATTGATGAGAGTGCTTTTGCATTATAACTTTATACAATATTATTTTTATTTGCTAATTTATGCTTTTCTTTAATGATAATAATTTAAAAAAAAAAAACAAAAGGAAAAATTTTTTAGCGGAAAAATTTCATAGTAAAAAGACTATTCTCGAAGAAAAAAAAAAAGATTTTTGGCGGAAAAAAAATTAAACATTTCAGTGAAAAAAAACACACAAACACAAACACAAATGAAATGTTACATTAAAAAAAAAAAAAAAATGTAAGAATGTTTTAAAAATTAATAATTAAAAAACTTTTTACAATTTTAAAATCTATTATATCGCTATAAATGTTAATTGTTTTTGCTTTCTAATCTATTTCCCACATTTAACCCGCGGGGCAATTCCTAAAAAGTGCTCTTTTTACGTCATTCAAAGTGTGATTTTTGATCCAAAATGAAATGAACAAAAACATTTAGCATTTTCATTTTATCATTTCTAAAATATTTTTTGTATAATTTGATTTTATTAAATTAATATTATTAGATAATGAATTTCACTTAAATTTAGATGATATATTTGCAATTTTTTCCTACCTTATGTAATTTTATAAATTCCTTTCATTACCTAAATTAAAAAAAATTTTTTTTTTAAAAAAAACCAAAATTGAATATATTAAATAATTTTGAATAAATAAATTTTTGCGACATTAAACATATGATGCTACATTATATTTGCATATAAATTAGAATTAATTATCAATAGCTTAAAGTACTTCTAACAAAAAATTAAAAAAATAAAAATTGAAAAAAAAAAAAATATAAAATTATAGCTTAAAGGCAAATAAGCTAAACTGGTGGAAATAGAATAAATACAAAACTAAAAAGTTTATATTTTTCAAAATTCTTAAATAATTATTAATATCATTAAAATTCATTCATTATTCGAAATAAGCAAATATATTAGAATTTGATTCAAATAAATTGTTAACAAACAACTGATTTTAGAATTTTTTTTGCTATCTAAATATTTATTTAAAAAAATTCTTTTTCTCTTTCTAATGCATTATTATTGACTAATTTTTATTTTATTTGTTTTTTTTTCTTAAATAAAAAAAAAAAATTTAATTTTTTTTTTGTTTTCTGCATTTTTTCTTTTTTTTTCTTTTTTGTTCTAAAAATAAATTATGTGAATTTATTCAAAACGACTCCATCCATTAAATATGATCAAAGTTATATTGGCAATGAAATGTTTACATTTGAAATGATGCTTTAAGTTAAGAGTCAAAGATTGAAATACTTTATTTTCAAATACTTTTTACTTTATTTTCTTATTCACATACACATACACACACACACACACACATACACACACACATACATACATACACACATACATACATACATGCCATGCACAGAGCTATTAATACTCTCCAATTTTGCTACTTTAATTTACTTTTAATAGCATTGATTACGATGATAGATAAAATGATAGATTTATTATACAATTTTTTTTTTTTTTTGTTTAGAAATATACTTTTAACATTTATTTAATAATTTTTCTAATGCATGCATGGCATGCAATACACATTTATGCATGCAAAAAAGAATGCAACATATTGTGCAATAATAGTTTATAATTGCTAAAGTTAAGTAATAAACAATTATTATTATTATTAATAGCATATATGCATTCAGTTCGTGTATGGTTAATAATAATTAGCAATATTAATGAATGATAATCAAATTTTAATTAATAAATAAGCAAAGAAAAAGTGAAAAAGGGGAAAAGTGGAAGTAATTTTAAATGGAAGTAATTTTTTCAATCTATTTTAAAATGTAAAACTGTAAAATTAGCAAAAAAAAAAGTATAAATTCAATTGCTTCAGTTAAAAATGCAAAATTTTTGGTCGGTAAATAAATCAATTAAAAGATAAAAAGAAAAATAAAAGTAATTTTTTAGAATTTATTATAGAATTGCAAATTTTACTAGAATTTGCTCGAACAAAAAAGAGAAAAAAGAAAAAACAGAAATTTTTGATCAATAAAGAAGTGAAGATGAAATAATGCGTAAATAAAAAAAAGTAAATTTATTAATTATTGATTATATTTTATAAAATTATTTTCTATTTTATTTCAAATCAATCAAAAAATAAAAAATTTTTACAATGAAATAAGTATGTAAATAAGAATTGTATATGATTAATATATCATGGAATATATGTTTAGTAAATCTTACTTATATCTCATTATTTCCTAATAATATAAAAATATTAGAAATGACAATTAGAAATTAAAAAAACGAAAAACGAAAATGAAAATTTAGTATGAAACAAAGACAATCGTAGCAAACAATTGAAAGTAATAAAAATGCTACAACGAATGAAAATTTCAAAAATATTATTTTGCACAGCTAAAGTACATTTAACTTAGTGTATTTTCTAAAACTTTTATTTTATTTTTTTCTTTGCAATGATTCAATCGTTAAATAAAAAAAAAAAGTGATTGACACTTAAATAAATGAGACAAAAAAAAAGAAAGAAGAAAAATGGATGGAAAGAAATTATTGTTTGATTGATGGAGAAATTAAACAAAAAAAAAAAAAAATTGAAAAAAAAAGAAAATAAAAGAAAAAGTAAACAAAAAAAAAAAACTTTTTGTGTAAAAAAAAAACACACACACACAGAGAGAGAGAAAAGAAAGAGAAAATGAAATTTGTTGACTTTTTAAGATATTTCCGCTCAACAATTTATAAATTATTTAACAGATAAGAAAGTGACAAATTTTTTAATTTCTCATTTTTGTTAAATTATAACTTATGTAAACATGAAATAAAACTGAAATAATTAATAGGAAAAAAAGATACAAAAAAAAAAAGAAAACTAAATTGACTTTAAAGAAACTCTCTTCACTTTTACTTTTTCAATTACTTTCAACGAAGAGTCAAAAAAAAAAAGAAAGAATAAAAAAAGGAAGGAGGAAAAAATAAAAATTGTAAATATTACGACTACTTTTTTTTTTAAGAAAAAACTTTTTTAAAACTTTTTTTTTAAAAAAAAGTAGGAATGAATGGTTTTTTGTTAGCGATAGAAAATACAACAAAAATGCAATTTTCTCTTTTTTTTTTTTCTTTTAAAAAAAAGCTGTAGCATTAATTTGAATTGTTTAATTGTTAGAGAAAAAATTAACAATGATTTAATTGTTGGAGAAAAATTAATCAAACAATTAAAAAAAAAAAATGATAGTATGTAGAGAATTGAATTTTATTTCACTGAAAAGATAAATATTATTTATGCAAACATTAGTGCAAAATGGAAATTAGATATTAAATGCTTGAAATTTGATAAATATTTTCCAATACTTTCCGACTGTATTGATTTTATTTCATTTTATAAAATATTAATTTAAAGGCATAATTTCACATCACTTCTTTTTTTTTCTTTTTGTTCATCATAAATTTTAGCATAACAAAATTTTAGCTTAAATTAGAGAATATGAAAAAAGAAAAAGAAAAAAACAAAGAGTTTTGTTATGTAAACAACGAGTAATCGATTAATAATTAATTAATTGAAAAATTTAGATTGATGCTTTACATTTAAAATTCATTTATAAATTCCTTTTTTTTTTCTTTTTTTTTGCACAAAAAGAAGAGAAAAGTTTTCAATTATATTTTAATGTATCAATTACGCGTCCATTTTTTTCCCACTTAATATATTTTAATTATAAAAAAAAATCTTTAATTATATTTTCACTTCATAGTATTTTTTTTCTGTTTGTAAAAGTTTGAAATTTTAAAAGTAAAAAAATTTTAGAAAAATTAAATGATTAATAGGAATGTCTTAATTGCTTTTTTTTTCTTCATTTATGAATAATTTTACCATATTTTCAAATTTTGATGTAAATAATTAATCATTTAAAAAGTGTTAAATGAAATATAATGAAATTAAGTGAAAATGAAATGATTAAATTAGCATAAAGTATGTGAAATTTGTAAAAACTTATTCAATACTAAAATGCTAATTATGCAATGAAAAGCATTCAGAAATGAATGTAATAATATTTTAATGAATGAATGAATGAATGAATGAATGAATGACTGAATGACTGAATGAATGAATGAATGAATGAATCAATCAATTTTACGTAAATAAAATGAAAAGGTATAATTGAGAATTTGTTTATTGAAATATTAATTAACTTGAAATGATTTCGCTACTATCTATAATCGTTTCTAAGCAACAATGAGCAAGCAATAATATTTTCTTCAAATCATTAATTAAACATTTTTTTCTTTTTCTATCTTATTTTTCAATCTACTTTTTTTTTTTTTTTTTTTTAAAATAATTATTACAAATTCTTTGAAACAAGAAAACAACAATATTTCATTTTGTTCAAATTAAAAATTAAAAAAAGAGGTGCAAAAAAAAAAACAAATTAAAAATTAAAAAATTAAAAAAAAAGAGGTGCAAAAAAAAAAAAAAAAAACTGAAAGAAAAGCAGAATTTTAAATTAAACATATAAAAAGAAAGAAATTAAAGGAAATAGTAAATTTTTAAATATCAAATGCATAATAATAAACTGAAAATGAAAGATATATTTTTGAATTATACTTAAATAATATAATATGCTTCATTGAATTATACACATTTATTGTTTCCCTCTCCCTCTCCCTCTCTCTTTTCAAGAATTCTTATCAAACTCATTCAATTTGTCATTTTTTATTCTTATTTTGCATAATTTTAAGTGCTCTACTCTAACAAATTTGCATTAAATTATAAGTAAAATTTGTGCAAAACTTTTGGCAATATAAATGTTACCTTTTTATTTCTTTTTTTTTAAAAAATATAAAACATATAATTAGATAAATAAAAAATTTAATAAAGAATAAATCAAATGATTGATTGAGAAAATTATTTTATAAATAATGAAAAAAGAGAGAAGAACTAACCTTCGATGAAATGAACATGGTGAAGCTGATAATCTTGATAATGATGATGATAATGGTCGACTTTTAATATCTGGATCTGCTAAAATTTTAAATAGAAAAAAAAATTTTAATTTTTTAGTTAGATATTAAACAAAAAAAAAAAATTAGTTGTATATAATATCTAATTATTTATTTATTCATTCATGTATTTATTATACTTTTAATCTATTTATTCATTTCATATATGTATTTATTCAATTCTTATATCTATTTTGTGCATTTATTTATTTCGTCTTTTTTTTTAATTCCTATTTAATTATATATATATATATATACTATCAAAAAAATTATTTTTTCCATTGTAGTAATTTCTTTCTTTCTTTTCTCTTTCTTGCTTTTTTTTTTTTTTTTGAAAATTTAGTTTAATTTAAAATATTTAACTTCATACTTCTATTCAATTCATATCTCTCATTTTAATTAGTGAATTAATTAATTAATTAATTAATTTCATTAACTTACAGCTAGCAGGACCAAAATCATTAAGTATAACCGATGGTGAATTAAAATGTCGTAAAGTATTTCTGGGAATGCTGGTACTGTGAAGATTTGTTTGATCCATAAATAAATGAGTGAACGGTTTCAAACGTTTATCATTTGGTGACGTTAATGATGACAGCGAAATATGATGCTTTTTATTTTGTTCCATTATAAATAAATTGCAAAAAATTCGAAATAAAATTTTACTGTACCTTAAAATAATTTATAAATTTATTAAAAAATAAAAATAAAAGAAAAGTGCTACGTTAACAATAATTTTCATTGTGTTACATTTTGTTATAAAAATTTGAAATGAGAAATTGTTAAATTAATTTATATTAATTGAAATAATATAATATTAGCGTTTCATTAATTCATACAACAATATGAATATTTTTGGGCATTTATTTATCTATTTCATAAATAATAAATAAAATTCAGTTAATATTTTAAAATTTATTATAATTTATTATAACTTACAGATAATAAATCATTAAAAAGTTCATTGGAATTATTTCTTATTTGCTTTTTTCAATTTAAATTTTGTTCACTAAATTTTGATAATATCAACTTTTTGCTTTCTTTTTCTGTCATCACTAATTTATCATTTGTTTAAATCTATTTTAATCAGCCCATACGATGTTTTCAACCCATTTTTCTATCATTAAAACTTAAAAATTAACCGTTACTATATTTTCATATTAAAAATTAACCCATAATATACTTTCATATTTGATTTCATTAATTAGATATTGAAATTTTTCCATGCATTTTACTAACTTTTCAAAATTGTTAATTTTTTGCTATTATTATCCAACTATTTGCTATTATTAAAATGATAATATATTTGAATTGATGATGATAGATAAAATGAATTTCTCTCATTGCTATATCAAAAAATGTCCTATTTAAAATATCCCTTAGGATTTTATTCAATCAATTTTTTTTTTAAATTAATAAATTATCTTTTCTCATCTACTTCCTCTTCTAATAAAACAATCAACACACACATACACACAAAAAAAGCTAAACAAAACTTTCAAACATTTATTATTCAAAACAAAGAAAAGAATTAAAAATTAAAAAAAAAAAATTGAATAGAAATAGAAAATGAAGCGAAACTTTCACAAATTACTTTTTTGTATAATTTATTCAATTGATCGATTAAAAGTTTTTAGCAATGTAACAATCTTATTTATTCATTTAAATGATAAATAAATGATTAAAAAAAAAGTCAATGAAGTTTTTTTTTCCGTTTTATTTTGTAAAAATAGAGCGGAGAATATATAAAAATATTAAAAAAAAAAAAATTTAAACAAATATTGCTTTTAATTAACAAAAATTAATATTTAAAAAAAAAAGACGAAAAAAATTAAAGGATTTTAGCTACTAAATCATAAATTTGAAAATAGTTTGTGAAGAAAATGTTGCCCAAGCATATATTGTTTAATTTTTTTTTTACTCTTTAATAAATCAATTATTTTTGCAAAAAAAGGCGAACATTTTTTTTTTTTTTTTTGAAAAATAAGGAACAAAAAAAAATTGGAAACTTATTTACTTTTTCATTTTTACTTTCAAATATATTTGGAAACAAGTAGTATTTAGAAGTAATCGTAAATTTTTGATAGTAATTACTCTTAAAGAGTTAGAATATATAATTCATACAAGATTACATTTATATATCATTTTTCATACCTTAACTTAACTTAAAGAACATATGATTTTTTTTGTTTTTTATTTAAAAGTAAAATTACGAAAAAACAAAAAATGAAACTTTCAAAATAGTTTTATAAATAATAATCAGCTTGTTTTGGATTCATAACTTATAAATGTTGTAGAATTATTTTAAAATTATAACAAAAAAAAAAAAAAAAAAGATAAAATAAAATGAAACAAAAAGGAAAAAATAGAGCTTTAAAAAATGATTAAAATTCATTTTTTAGAAAAAAAAAATGTAATAGTGTGACAGAAAAGAGCTAAATATTAAAAAAAATTTTTTTTTGTTAAATAGTTTTACAAGTTTTGCAATAATTTGGACAGTTTTTTTTTTAAATTTTTGTTCATTTTTTTTGATAAAGCAATATTAATTATTTTAACAAATTTATTTTAAAATAATGTTCAATTATTTTAAAATAAATTTGATATAAATTCTAATCTTTCATCTATGAAATATATATATGCCATATATGATTTATTATTATTTCTGCATCATTTTGTTTTTGTCACTTAAATTTCAATTTAAATTTTAATCTTTTAGCTACGACACATACATATGCACGTATCAGATATGATAAGATTTATTATTATTCTTGCAATATTCTTGTTTTATTGTTTAAATTTGATATAAATTTCTAATCTTTCAACAATCACATTTATCAGATGTTATAAGATTTATTACAATCAATAGAATTATTTTATTTTATCATTTAAATCTAATATAAATTCCATTCTCTTAACTATAATACATTTATCAAGTATGATAAAATGATAAAAATTATCATTATCTTTTGCAACCATTTTATTTTATCAATAAAAGCAAAAAGAAAAAGAAACAAACAACAAAAATAAAAATAAAAAATGCACATGTATAATTTGGATAAGAAATAAATAATTCAATTATCATCCCATTATTTGTGGCACTCTTGCAAAAATTGATAGTTAGAAAATTAAAACAAAAAAAAAAAGAGAAAAAAAAGTTTGGGAAATAAAAAAGATTCAAAATTTTTTTTTTTCATCAAATTTTGATAATCTTTTGTTATAATTTTTACTTTTTGTAGCTACTCTAAGCAATGTCATTGTCTTTCTGCAAAACTCTAATTCAATAACAAGAAACTTTAACATTTATCTAGGATTGCAAAAAGAAATTGAAGTTAATTTAATCGGATATTCATTAAATGATGAGGGAATGAATGTTGATCAATCAAGAAAAGTATTTCGTCTTTATAAATCCCATCTCATTGCCATTTTATTATAACATAATGAGCATTTCTCAGCCATTTTATTATATGCTAATTAATTCAATAAAAAATTAGTATTAATAGAATAAATTGATTCGAATTATTGAGATTGTAAATAATAAATGATAAAATGATGTTAATTTCATAAAATGCCAGAAGAAAAAAAAAAAAATGTTACATTAATAAATATTAGTGAAAAGAAGGAAAAAAAATCGTTTTATAAATCAATCAAATAGAATCTTGAAAAGTGAATCAAAATTTAAAAAAAAAAAAAAAATCAATGATAAATTTTTTCATTTTAACTTTCTCAATTAATCTTTTCCATCATTCAATACGAAATAACTCAACATGCTTAAATTTATTATTTTTGCTTAAATATATCCATGCTTCTTTTGTAATAAACATTCATTTTTTACGAGGAAAGGAAAAAATTCATTCCTGATATATACCGGAGAAAAAAAAATTCATTCCTGATATTTACGAGAAGAAAAAAATCAATTCCTGATATTGGAAGAAAAAAAAATTCATTCCTAGTAATGCAGGAAAGAAAGAGAAAAATTCTTTGATCTTTCATCTCAATCTGTAAATACTCAAAAAAAAAATTCCGCTTTTGATTTGTAGAGCAAATATAATTTTCATTATTAGAAAATATTGAGAAAAAAAAAGTTTGCAGTTGTAAATAATAAAAAAAAACGCATGAATAAATCAATAAATCAATCAGTCAACAATTAATGAATGAATAAAAACTGTAACAATTTATCATTCATCATTATTTTTATATTTTATAGACTTCACAGAATGTTTAATAAGTAAAATGATGTATGTTTCCAAATAAAATTTTTGAATAAAATTGAAATTGAGGATGAGAATGTAAGAGGAAGCAAATAGCATACTATATAATTTAATTTATTTCTCTTTTTTTTATCCACAACAAATTCTATTTTCAGCTAAATTTTTATCTATGTCATCTATTACTTTCTATCTCTATTTCAAAAACCACTTTAATTTTGAATAAACATGAACCAATGCAAAATGATAATATGTTGCATCATTTGCATGCTATTTCATGCATGTCAATAAACAACTAGGCTCATTTATACTTGTCACATTTATTCAAATGATGATGGAAAGGATATCTTTTTGAAGAAAGCTTAAGATTATATTCATCGATCCATTTGATAAACTTGTTTTTCTTTCTTTTTTTTTGTTAATCTTTTTTTTAAAAAAAAATTATTTCTAGATATCTAAGGATTTACAAAAAAAAAAAAAAAAGCACAACTCATTATTATTATTAATTATATCATTATTGCTATGAATTTTATTCGGTTCAGAATAAAAGCTTATAAATGTTTTGATTATCAAAATTTTCCAATGTTTGTTTCTTGAAATATTTTATCAAATAATCTTAATTCTATTTTAAAGAAAGAAAGAAATCGCCTATGACATAAATAGCAATAAGGTAAAGCCTTATCCTAATCTGTTGATTGATTAAACAAACATACACTTGATCAATCTTCGATCATTTCCAATACCACTTTATCATGATATTTTTTTAAGCATTAATAAGGATGAAGTTAAATTAGGATAAATTTGATAATAGAAATAGAATTTGAATAAGTGAAACTTAAAACTAACTTAAAACTTTTTATAACTTAAATATTAAATTTTATAACAAAATCAAAATATTATACAGCTTCAAAATATTAAAAAAGGAAACTAAAAAGTCAGAAAAAAACTAAAAATTTAGAAGGATAAAATTCTAAAAAACGAAAAGAAAAAAGTTAAAAAAACATGAAGGATCAAATTCATTTTAATTATTAGCCACTTATTATAACATCTTACATTTCATTTTGCTAATAAAAAAATAAGTAAATAAAAATGAAGCAATAAAATATTTTATAGTTTATTACATCTTAAGCCAACAAAAAAAAAGTCAAAGCATCAAAAAAAAGGAAGAAGAAAAGACGAGAAAAATGAATTTAGAACGAACCATTTGTTAAGTACATATGCTATCATTGCTAATTTCATGTATTTTCTAATTTCACAAAATAATATTTCTTAGTTTAGAACGTAAAAAATGATTTTACTTCTTCTTGATTTTGTCTTTTTTTTTTTGCATTAAAATCATAATTACTTGAAAATTAATTTAGAGTAATATCCTAATAGTATCAACTGATCATTATAGTTAGTAATGCGTAATATAAAAAGAACAATAATTAAGCAATTTATTCAGTCAAAAATATATTAGGTTAAAATTCTTTGCAAAAAACAAAAAAGAAAAAAAAAATCTAATTCTTTATTTTGCTTCACTTTATTTCAGTTTATCTTTTTTTACTTAATATTAAACATTTATTTTCATACCATTATATTCATTTAAAATATATTGAGAATATATGAAAAGATAAAAAGGAAGAAAAAAAGATTGATGAGAAAAATTGAATAATAAATTAAATAGCAAATTACTTTTTAATATTCATTGCTATTTTTTTTTTCTCATAGTTATTCCTTCTTTAGAATGAAAATTTTATAAGAGAATATGAATAAAGTGAAGAATAGTTGTGAAAAATTCAGAAAATCGAGAGATAATAAAATGAAATATGAATGAACTTTAATGGCAAATTATCAAATGAAATTTTCTTCTTATAACTACATTTTTCTTTTTCATTTCATCAAAAAAAATATTTCACCAACTAAATTATTTTATATATATTGAACAAAAAAAAAAAAAAATTTGGATATAACAGCGGGTATACTGTATGCAACATACAGTATACCCACTGTATATTGCATACAGTGTGCATACTGTATTGAGTATACCGTATACAATGGCTGCGCATAATGTACATCACACAACGATTAAGTGTACCGTGCATTGTATATGATTGTAAATGTGCTGTATATTATGTACTAATTAGTTTTAATTAAATGATTGTTTGCTAACAAATATTATGATATGATAAGGAATGCATGCATAATCTGCTTTATATATAATAAAAGTTAATAACATATTGTTACGTTACAAATGTAGGTAAAATAATACTAAAAGTATACTAATATGTCAAGAATTTACTTCAAAGATACTAACGTTTAATACAAATATATTAAAATGCTAAAAATATACCGATATACCAAAAATATAATGAAATTTTAACACTGGATGTAAGAGATGTATTGATAGACTAAAAATATCTGATATCTGAATACTCATATACTTGATTTAGATTCAAATAAAAATTATGATTTAAGCTGTAGTTTAAACAAGAATGATATGTCAACCCTTGAATTTAAAATTTGAAGAAAAAATTGCTGAAATTTGCAGTCGCAATAAAGAAAAAAATATGGCTAAATTTAAAATTGAAATAAAAATTGTAGCTAAATTTAAGATTGAAATAAAAATTGTAGCTGAATTTTAGTATTGTTAAAAGTTAATGAGAACGAAATTTTTAACATTCTTTTTTTTCCATTCCTGAGAATTGAACAACATTTATTTCGTCTGTTTCTTTTTGTTTCAAACCATTTTCCTTCTTGTTTGATGGAAAACACCAAAAAAAAGGAAAAAAAAAAAAAATGAAAAAGTATTCCAGCTGTTACACATTCATCTTCCTATGCTTAAAATTATTTTCAATTTTTTCGACAAGGAAAACGAAACTTTTATCAAAATTTTAAAATTAAAAAGTTCTTCTATTCTAGAAAACATTACAAGTTGTACTGTAAAAAAGGGAAGTACTATATTTAAAATGATATTTAACAAGTTAAAATCATAGTAGAAAAAATCACTTATTTTTATTTGAATTATTTATGATCTGGAAATGCAAATGTTCAAAATAAAAATAAAAAAATGAAAAAATTGTTGTCAGATTTTTTTAGGAATATTCTTAAGCATATGATTGATATTTAGCATTTATTTTGCAAACATTAATTTGAAATCTCATTGAAAATGATCTGATGTAAAGTTTTTTTTCAGAAATTTTCACATCACTTTAAATTCAATCAAATTCTGGCATTAATTAAATTACATTATGTATTCAGATTAAAAGGAAATTTCAAGTTGCAAGGAAATCAACTTGATTTAATTTGAATTAATTTTGACTTTATTAACATACTTAGGAACATATCATAATTTATTGGTCTTTCTTTCTTTTCATCAAAAAAATAAGTAAAAGAAATGTTCATATCTTCGCGTAATAAATATAGAATTGAATTAACTTTGAATTCGATTTAATTTAATTTTCTTCAATGAATTGTGATTACAAAAAGAGTTCTAAAAAAAAAAGAAAACTAAGAAAAAGAAACAAATACGATATTACAGAAAATAGATTGATTAATAATTGACTTTGAAATTAGCTTAGCTATTTCATATAGCTTGCCAGATGGTTTAAACAATTTTTATTTTTTTTTTTTTCCATTTTATTATACAATCCGTTTGGAAATAAAAATTTAACCAAAAATATGATTGACATTTTGTATGAAGAAAAGTTAAAATTATGGAAAAAAGATTTCATATTTGACGTAAAATTTTAAAAAAAATTCCTAACTAAACTTATTATCATTGTTGATTAATTTGTTTGCATTTAAAATGTGTAATATTGTTAGAAAAAAATTTTGTTTTTTTTTTAAGCAAAAAAATTTTTGATTTTTTTCCTTTTGATCAAAGCTAAACTGATTTCAAAATTATCATTAAATTTTTCACTGCTTTTTTCCCATTCGATATACCAACAATCTATGCAATAAAATTATTTGCCTATCCACAAGAAATTGAAATAATCAGTTGAATGATCAATTTATCTTTAAATCAAATAAGTTTATATTTATAAGATAAATTCAACTTATACACTTTTTAAATAATAAATGTATAATTTAAAATAATTTTTCTTCATGACTGATTTTGATTTTATTTGTTTGTTTATTTTGTATTTTAGCAAGAAAAAAAGTGAGTTAAACGAAACCAAGGTAACGATAGAAAATTAGCAGTAATGATGAAGATCATTAATCAGTTTTTTGTTTTTCTTTTTGAGTAATGTAAACAAATGAATTGAGTAAATTAAAAGGATTGAAAAGTATATTACGACAAAAATTTAATCAATAGATAAATTGGTTGGCTATTAGTTAGTGTTATTTGTTCATTATTTAAGCAAAATCGTCATAGATAATGAATAACATTAATTATCATTTTTAATGTAAACGATAAAATGACTGGTATAATAATAATGATAATGGTGGCTGGTGATAATAATGATAATAACAATATTATGTTAGAATAATAATGATAGTAATAATAATATAGTAATGGCGATAATAGTCATTAAAAAATGATGATGAGGGTGATGAAAATGATGATTAACCATATAAACAGCAACGATTGTTGGTGATAACGATTAATGACTGATGATGAGTAATGATTAGTGATAATGATGATAATGAGCGCTCGCGATAATAGTTAATAATGATGATAACAAAAATAATCACAATGATTAGAGTTGAAAATAATATCCGATAATAATGATTAGTGTAGAATGAAGTTGTTGATATTGTTGTTACTGATAGTGATAATGATAGCAAAAGTAAGAAATGATAAATGATGTTCAACAATATTTATATCATAATACTTCTTTAATATATATTGTTGAAAGGATAAGATATAATGAAATGTATGCTTTTTCTTCCGTTTCCCATTTTTTTTTCTATTTTTTTTTTTTTAAAATGCTTTTTATTACTTTTCTAATAATAAAATTAAAAAGTAATTGATTTCATAGCTTTCTGTTGCATATATATATTAAAGTTTTTCCTATTTCTTTCCTTTTTTTTCGTATTTTATATTATATATTTTTCTTTTCTTATAATTTTTCATTCCATTTAATACTTTCATTTGTAGATTTTTATTTCTTACAAAAAAAAAAAAAGAAAAATTTTTTTCATCTCATTTCACTCTATTTTTTGTTATTTCTTAATTTATTTTGATTTTTTTAAGCTCAATTTTATTATAATTTATTTATTCATTAAATAATGCGTATTTTTAGTACTCACCTAAAGCTGTACTTACAATAATACAACAATTCGTAGTAATCGATTTTTTTTTTTGGTTAATTTTAATTCTTTAACAAAAAAAAAAAAATAAAAGAAAAGAAAATTATATTTAACTTTACTTATCATGATTACTATCATCTTTTTATAACAGATATTTCTCTATCAAAAGTATTCAATAGTTGAAAGCTTTTCAACAACAAAAATTTGATATAAAAATGTCACATCATGAAGTTATTATAATAACATTGAAATGATATTATTAAAATTACTTTGCAATATTACCTAACAACGATTTCCTTTTATTATCAATTTATAATATAATTGGAAGATAACTTTAGCAAATATTCTAAAGAAAATAAATCTAATACTTAAATATGCAAATTATTGATTCGTTTCAAATGTATCCATATTATATATACTTACATATATATATAAGTTAATATTATTTAATTTGCGTAATAAAAAAAAAAAATTAGCAAATTCTAAATGAAATGCTAATTTCCTTCATATTCAATTTAATATCTCAAATTTCTGAATAAAAATTTTTGCTTTTTCTGTAAATATTTGCAGGAAATTTCATTGCTGTGATAGATAAAGAAATAAACAAAAATGATAACATAAAGTTAAAATTAAATGAAAAAAAAAAATTTTTTTTTTTTTTAAAACAAAAATTGTTGTATAATAGAAAAGAAACTATTAAAAGTGCACAAAAAAAAGAAGCGATTTAATCCATTAATTCATTTATTTTATTTTATTTTATTTTATTTTTTTATTTTTTTTTTGATTATTTTTTGTAACACTTTTTCTTTCCCATTTTAAATTTTTGAAATTATAGAAATTTTTGTTTGTTTTTTCCTTTCTTTTTTTTTTTTTTTTTGAAGTAACAAATGATAAATTTCAAAAATTTTCAAAAAAGAAAAAAAAAAAGAAATTATCATCTTTTATGTGAATTCATTATTTGTCAAATTAAATAAAATGCATGCTGTAAGATTTTTTTTTTCAACACGAATATTAAAATATTTTTAGTAAAATAAATCTTTCAAGGTAGCATTATCAGATGACAATGTCTTTGATATATTTTTTATTTATTTATTTGATTTTTTTAACAAATTTTCAGTAAAATACTAGAAATATTTATTTTTTCAAAAATAATGAACATTATGTTTTTTATTTATTTATCAAATTTTATCAAGATTATTATCACAGTTTTAGTCATTGTAATTGTTATCAGTACTAAATTAATCTCGATTTTATAGCATCACTACCATCATTCGAAAGATAATATTAACAGTGTATGTCTTCTCATTTATATTGTAAATAATGTTTTAGAAATTATGATTTTAATGTTATTTTGAAAAATTTAAATTTAATTTTTGTTTTTATGGGATAAAAATATTTTATTGATGCAAGAAGTTATAAATGAAAAGCTATAAATTGAATATCTCATGATAAAGTGATAAAGAATAAAATTACTTAGAATCGAATGAATTTTAATATAAAACATTAAATAAATTTGGAGGAAGGAGTATTAAAACATTTTGATTTAAATCATTTGATCAATTTTTTTTTTCTAAATATTAAATTTTGAAAATATTCAAATAATTCCAGCACATATATATATATTAAAATTGCATGGTAAAGCGAAAAAGAAAATTTATTTTAATTTCAGTCATAAAAACATCTGACCGAATGTAGGAAATCGCAGTTGTCAGATTGAAATGAGAAAATTTCCATTAGGGAAAGTTTTTTTTTTTTTTAGAAAAAAAAGCAAAAAAGATTTTAAAGC